TTCTAATAATAATGAGTTATAAAATAATGTTCTAATCATAAAAAATTGCATTTTTTCAGAAAAGACATAAACATAAAAACACATAAACTTAAAAACCCTTACCTTAATACAAGATCCAAATCGTTAGACAAAGACAAGAATTGCTCATTCAATTTTATAAGATTGAAAAAATCTCTACTTTTTAAAATTTGACTCAAGATTCAAGCCTAGTACGGACTAAACGCTATTTTCTTTCCTTATAAAATCCTTCACAATATTTTTTGATACTAAAAAATAAAAAAAAGTAATATTTTAAAAAAGGATCTATTTTAACGTCATGTTTTTTTTAATAATTATTAACATTATTTATCTTTGTTTTAATCTTTTTTATTGCGCGAGCATCCAAGCATTATAGTCCAGTCAAATAAGGTCTGAAATCAAAATTTGAATCTCAACTGTGCATTTTTGATGTAATGTAGTTTTAATGATACAAAAACAATATGTAAAGGTTTTCGTGTCGTTAACCCCCGGCAAGGGTTGCAAAAATTTTCAAAAATGTTTTTTTTTTGCAATTACTCGAAAACGGTAAAAATTAGACAAAAAAGTTTTAGTAAAAATATGTAGAGATTAAAATTTTACATAAAAAAAGTATCATGACTTTTTTTCCTCCGGTCAATATGAATGTAAATTTAAAAAAATCGTAGTCAGTAAAAATATAAGCGAATATTTAACATCCATACCTACTAATATTATAAATGTGAATGTGTGTTTGTTTGTTTGTTTGTTTGTTTGTTTGTTTGTTTGTTTGTTTGTCCTTCTTTCATGTCGAAACGGATCGACGGATTGGGATAATTTTTTGTGTGGAGATAGTTGAAGGGCTGGAGAGTGACATAGGCTACTTTTTACCGCGGGAGACTTACTAATTCCTACGGGAAAACACGTTCTAATACAATCCGAAAAAAATATTAATGATCAGAATAACTTGAAACTTGGTATTAATGCTCTTCAATAAAATTAAATAAATACGTATTTTAGCATTTTTCGAAATTCATCCTGTAAATGGGTAAAATATAGGATGAAAGTTTGTATGAAACTACCTTTTTAGAGACTTTCAAATAAATCTCTTTTCAGTTTTTTTCGCAGATTCATGCTTCAAAGCTTTTATTTATTTATGCTTTATAGCATTTATCGTCACGGGAGAGACTCTCCAGTGACTATGATTGCTGTAAAGCATTCGAAACGTCAGGAACCAGAAATCAAAATAAATCAGCGAAAAAATCCGAAAGGATAGTTTTACTAATATTCTTCTGAGAAATACAATATTATAAGAATTAATTAATAAATAGTTGTGGTTGAGTTAACATTCTATAATATAATCAAATGCTTCATCAAAAAACTAATTTAGATTCTTATATGTATCTAAATAATGCTAAAATAATATATTTTTTAATAAATTAAATTATTAATATTTTACCTAAAAAGATGTGTGTAGGTAATTATTGTCTTGACAGCTGCACACATCGCGACCTCATTTCGTTGCAACTGTTGAGCAATCGTTGTTGTTTTCACTGACTTGCAATATTGCAAAATCAGCTCCAATAAGTCATTGGACTCAATTATTACCAGTAAACGTTACAAATATTTATTGTGTCGAAATACTAAAGTAAATCTTAAAACTATCTTTTAAATCTAAAAAGGAATATCGGCAGCTTTAATACCCAGTTATTGCAAAGACAAATGTCCGACGCTACTTCAAATTTAGATTGATACGTTGTCAATATGTTGGACATTAACACACAACACCATCTAGTTATATGGTAAGCTACGAGGCTTGTGTTATGGATACCAGATAGTTGATACATTATACATATATAACTTTTAAATACATACATATTATAAATATACACACCCATGACTGGAGTACAAACATTCATGTTAATCACACAAATGAATGCCCCCAGCGGGACTCGAACCCTCGACCGCTGGCACAGCATGTAGGGTTACTACAAACTGAGCCAAACGTGTCGTCTTGTGTGATGATAGAAAAATTTCCAATATTATCGTTCGAGATTTATAAAGAAGAATTTTAACACTATGACATACCTATATACTTTTACCTTTATTAATCTTATTGATCTATACAAATTGTCTCAAGCAACATTTATTTTTTTAGAAATATTAACTACATATCTATTATTGATTAATTTTAATAATCCTTAACAAATTTTTACCTTTAAAGTAAAATTGAGTAGCTTCATCGTTCAATATTGGTGGTTAAAACAATGACCGTCATAAGAGTGGACAGGATATCTACAGAAATTTTTCCATAAATGTTTTAGTAAGAAAAAAAATCTATGAAGAATTCTCGCGCCTTCACTTCGAATAGAAGGTTCTTACTAAAAAGCTTATGCTACTTACCTGAGGGCTTAGCCAAGTTAACTATCTATAATAGTTAACGGTTTAGAAACGGTTTACATAATTTTAACTGTATTGAAAATTCGTAGCCAAGTTTACAAGTTACATAGTTCGTACTAAAAATTACACGTTATCGCTCTTGTGTGTAACGAATATTAAACTAGCTCACACTAATTTTATAATACTTTAAATAAACGTATGTCCACCTTCGCCTTTATAGGACATTTTCACGATTAATTCGATAAATCTAATGTAAACTATTCGTATTATAAGACTGAAATAATCTATTTTTTAACACAAAATCTTTACCGTAAGAGTTAAAAGTATAATATTTAGATGTCATTAAAATACATTATGTATGTTTCTTTTCAAGATAACGAACTTTAGTTTAACTGTACAAGATTGATTAGTGTTTATTTATGGTGCACTTCTATTTTTTTATAGTTCTTTACTTATTTAATTATATCAATGGACTAATTATTTTCGCACACCTTTATTTCTAAGGAACATAATAGGAGAATCCACAAAATGAAATGATAATCGGATATCAAATCAAAATGAAAGTCCACCTTTAGGAGTGGAATATTTTATTAAGGTTTATAGGTGATACCACCATTGAGATTTATGGAAACTGGGTGCAGAATCAACATACCTACACACAAAACAAAACGTCATAGCCTTCCTTCCGTCCTTTTTGAAGTTGGTCTAAAATAAGACCTACTCGTACTGACAAAAATCAAGGGAACAGAGCTGACGTAGGCAAGAATATAATTAATATATTATAGTCAACATAAAACACGTATTCATTATTTATTATTTGCTCATCTATGTTCCTAAGGTATTTTACGAGTATAAATGCATTCATTTAGTCTTGACGATTAAGAATCATCCGCTCCATAACTATTGACCTACGCTTTATACGGTACCGCATCTATAAGCATTGTATCTCTAATTTCCTATATGTTTTGATCATAAGCGGTTCTATTTTAATAAAATTTCTAAAACGAGACGAATAAGTACTGGATTTTGTAAAATTTTTAAACCTTAATTATTTTTCAAATCATAGTTTTTTTTTAAATGTCTCATAAAAGTAATGTATATCTTTTTTGAAATGCTATATATTTATCATCTATACATATAATAAAATTCTAACTGAGCCGAATCTGTACATTAAATATTTTTTGGAAAATCTTATTGAAATAGACATTATTATCGATACAGAGGCCGAATCTATAATTTTCAGAATTTTTGTATGTCTGTCTGTCTGTTACCGCATCACGGATAAACCACTGGAGGGATTTTAATGAAATTTGGTATGGTGATAGCTGGTTATCCGGGTCGATATATAGGATACTTTTTACCGCGGGAAAATATCTTATTTTTGAGAAAAAATACAAAAACTGCAATGTAAGAGTATACTAATATGTAAAACCTAAGAAATAGGTTTTCCCATTTGAACGCGGCCGGAGCCGCAGGCAATGCTAGTTTATTATAATGAATAAAAATAAATGACACCAATTAAAACATGTTAAATAGGTAATTTTTTATTGTTATCATATTATATTTATTTACAACTAATTACCGCGTCTGCGATTGTGTGTGTCTATTATTTAGTCGGCAACAGCACTTTCGCCTTATAACGTGCACGCAGAATGGAGAGAAGAGATTGTAGGCTTACGAGTAGATTATTAACATATGAGTAATCTAACGTTGTAAGTTGGAACACAACAATTTTAATGAAACTTAGATATTTACTTGTTATAAAATAAAAACTTCATTGAAATCTCTTGACAGACAAAATTATCTCTTAATTTGACTTATGTACATACACTAAACATTGCCTAAATGTAAAAATAATATCCAATAAGTAAATATAAAAATAATATCCAATCTCAAACTTTGACTGCCTTACAATTTTATTATATGTATCTTAGATATTAGAACTGCAATGATATTAACATAATATCACAATAATTATTATGAAGTTGTATTGCTAGAGCTCAACATTGTTAGTAATTGAAAAACTCTTGTATATGGAATCACTCTTTTCCAGCCTTTCTCTTGTAAGATTTTAATAAAAAATATTGAAATTACAAATTATTCGTATGAGTTTTATAATATTTATCAAGTGTTTACGCGTGCAACGTAAAAAATGGCGTAAACGTAAAGGAAAATCAAATGTAATTAAGAATATTTTATTAGGAAAACAGAAATCCTAAATTAAATATTCATAGTTTTTAATTTTAATGTAACTATTTACAATTAATCGATTATCAGTTGAGTCATATAATCTCCTATGTATAATTTTTAATAATACAAATATTTTAACGAAGCTATGAATTATATATTACGACACAACCATACATTTAACACGGTGTTAGAATAGCCATCTCGTTCACATTTCACGGCTATATTGTTCCACCATTTAAAAAACTATAAAACTGGAACCGATGATAATAATAAAAATTATTTTATCAAACTTAACAAAAGCATGAGCAGTCCGTCATAGCGGGCCTTCAGTAGCGCTGCCAGGCGCACGCAGACGAGGAGGCACCGGAGTTAGCGGCCGAGGCGGCGGCGGACCGCGGCGCCGCGCCCTGCCGTCACAGCTCGGAGAAGAACTCCGGCGAGGAGTGCGGCGTGGGCGGCGCGTGCCCGGCGTGCTGGGGCACCGCGTGCTCACGCCCCACGAGTGCCAGCCGCTGCTTCAGCACGTCCCGCTCGTGTGTCACTCGCGCCACTTGCAACTGCAGGAGGTGTAACTCGTTCTGCAAAGAACGATTTGCCATCTCCAATTCTTGTCGCTGTTGAAGCCTTTTGCTACGACAGTTTTGTGCATAGCCGCGATTCTTCAATGTCCGACGCTTCTGTTTCAATCGTGTCACGTCCTCTCGGGGAAATCCATGTAATCTCTTATTTAGCTCGCGAACACTTAATGTCATAAGTAAATCATCACTTATTAAATCATCTCCACATGACGACGGCTGATAGGACTGATGTTGACCTGTACGTGGTGATACAGCGGAGCAAGAACTACCCGGACGTAACCCTACTTGCTGCAAATGATGATCCTGTTCTCTCCACTCCCGACGATCCCATTCCTCAAAACTACCGCAGGGAACTGTACGCATGTCGAGAGGTTCACGCATGTGAGGAAGCCATAATACGTCATCCACTGGTGGAGCACGGCAGGGACTGCGCCCGACGGGAGCGGGAGGAGTTTCCGGTGGCGTGCTGGGGTCTACGGCAATAGCTACATGCGGCTGTGGATAGGGCCCTGCGTCAGGCCATTGTCGACAAGCGCGAGCGCAAGCTGGTAATGTTTCGACAATGTCATGCCAGCCTGCCCTCAGTGGTTCACGTTTAACGAGTTGATGATCTTCTAAATGGTCTAATTCAAAATTTTGAACATACTCGTCCGCAAGCTGATCATCATCAGCATCGCGATGTGGTTGAGGCGTTAGAGTTTGCATGGCACCCGCCTGAGAGCAATCGACGAGTGTGTGTTCAACCATGGAGCCGTACGGGGCGCGCGCCGGCCGGAAACGGACTGCCGCCGCGATACAGGGCGGCGCGAAACTCCGCCCTCCGGTCCAATGACGTTATGCGACGCGCGCAATGCTAAGTAAAGCCTTTATCATTACAAACATAGGTTCGCTAACATCAAGACATCATAATATAAACATAGCACACATTTACAACATAGCTTTTATAAGACCTTATGTACACTTCACGCGTAATGCTTTCGTTCATGTAAAATGTATAATTTCATGCTACATTAAGAGATGTGTAATATTATATTACTTGGACTTTAAAAACATTGTAATCAAGCTTACAATGATAATTTAAACTCAATTTATATTTATATAAATGAATGCTTTTTTGTAAATCCCAACTATTATTATTAAAAATCAAAAATTCATATCGTCACTCGCTAACAAACTATGCACAATAAACCGCTAGGAGTAAAGCATGAAATTTTGCATAAGATTGTGATTTTTATAACAAAGATTATATAAGCAAGCGGCAAAAAGGGAAAGAGTGGGATTTGAAAATACATATCCTAAAGGCGGTAAGTGTTTGTATGGCAGTCGGTCATTTATAAAATGTATGTACCTAAGACATTAATTCTCTTAAATGAGAATGTTAATATTATTAATCTCAATATATATATTTTTATGTTACCCGAACCATTTATATAACAGCAAATGTGCAATTTATTTTTAATTTTAATAAATCAAATTTCGTAGTAGAGTGTGGCAGTTAGGTGGCTAACATTAGAACAAAGTGATTTCACGCGTCGACGAGCACTGAGGGGTTAACAAGTCAGCGTAATTCCGAATTACATTTAATCACCGACCTGCCCGCACTCTAAACATTTAACCCTTCCTATTATCTACAAATAATTGAAACGATGCGTTCATTGTTTTAAAACAATAAGTTATAATTAAAAGTATACATGAATTTTCCTTTGCTACCCATAAAAAATATAAATTACAAAATCATGAAAGCTAGTCCACATTTCAATTATCAAATTAAGTTGATATATTTGGAATGCAATATGAGTATTATTTACGAGGTCCTGAATATATGAGTAGCTTCAATCATTCTCGTATGTAGTCAATTACATATTTCTGTCTAGTCTTAAGTCACACAACAATGTACCTAAACTATTACTTATATGAGAGCTATTACCAAAATGATTTTTTTTATTAAATATAAGTAATTAATAAAAATTAGCCAAGTGCGAGTCGCGCTCGCGTAAAGAAGCATTGGTACAATATCGCATTTCAACACTTTTTAAATAATTATTTTAAAATCCGTTAATAAACGGACGATGAAATGATCCGATAATGAAACAATATGAAAAAAAAATTTTGCTATTTGGCATTACCATTTCTTTTTGTATACATTTTCTACAATATGTTTTATGGCTTTATTAAAAGTCATAAAATAACATATTTAGGTATGATCTTCATATTGAGACTTTATTTGCACTTAACAAGATCTTGTGCACTTCATATGACTGTATTTTTTAATTATTTTAATTTTCTAAAAACTATAGCTCTACCAATTGAAAGCTATCATGTCTACTTACAGAATACAAAATGGAATACCTGCACACACAATATATTTTAATTATGATTAAATTATATTACGTGTGCAGGTGTTTTGGTGGTTCGTTACTGATGATATAATGCAGTATGCCACATTACATCATCAGTAACAAACCACCAAAACCACCTTGTACTTTTAACGTTGTATATTGAAAGAGTTATTTTTAAAACACTCCTCAAGCAAATACAGAATAACTCAAAGTTTCATCATAATCAATCGCCTAAAAATGCATAAAAGTCGAACGCTATTTTATGTACTTAAATTATAAAAAAAAAATATTATGTAACATAATATACATTTATTAATTAATTATGTATGAGAATTTAGAAGTATTATAAAACGTCCAAAATCTTTTATATACTGTCACATGACTATTTATCAAATAACTCTAATATTATTATTGAAAACTATTATTAAAGGAAAGAGAAACCAAGAAAAAGTCATCGATCGTTATTGTCATTCCAATAATACCTACCTACTTAATTTTATTTAAAACATCTATATTACTTTTGTATCGGAAAGACCGCTATGCCTTCTTAAAACACATCCATTCAAGATAAAAAAAAATATTTCGCATCTACACAACATATATTGTAAAATTTAGGTTTTGGATAAAGGTAGTCTATATTGTTGAATAGATAGGGTTGCTCGATGCGGCGTGCGAGTGCGGCGAGCCGTGGGCTGACGCCGCTGTTTGCTCGCCACGGTCAACATTGTTAGCGCAGCCGACGCTGCCGCAAACGGCAAATGTTATTACATGATTACTCGTTACCACCGCCCGCCCTCACGTACCAAACGCCGTGTTTGATCTCGCACTCTACTAATTACTGATAGTTACTTAAAAGAAAGATTTATAAGTTTTTGGAGTTGATTATGTGATGCAAGTCCACCTGATTAGATGATGGGACTGTATCGTATGAACATGGGATTTTTTACCGAAAATCTATTACAAAAACTTAATACTTGAAGGTCTACTAAAACTTTTGTTTCCTAAGAAACATAATTGTTTCAAATATTTACTTTAAATGAGAGAATATATATGAAAACTATTAAAAATGATTTTTAGAAAGTAACCATCGGTTAAAAATTAAAATGTAAAATAATTTTTTATTCATTGTATCTCGATTGTTGTTAAACAATAGTAAGAGCGTCACAGGTACAGCGATAGCGTGGTCGAGAGGAGGGCTCCCGGCGGCGGAACACGTTCTGCGGTTATCGAAGACTCTTCATCAATCGATCTAGCGCCCTCGCTTGTCATACGGACGGTGTCGCGTCTACACCCTATTTTTAATATTTTTAACATAAATCCTCAAATACGGATATTGAACTACTGTTATTAATGTGAAAATTTGTATTAAAACTGCCGAGCAGATTTGGATGAAATTTATATTACACAGACTATAACCTGGAGCAATACATAGGCCACTGTTAGGGCATCTAGGTACGCTAGGTTCTATGTAATTGTAAATTATATTTGTTATAGTTTCTATCGAATATAGAATATAGATGAAGAAATATACCTACTATAAAATTAATGTTTCAACACAATTTAACTGCCAATACCTACTAGAAGTATAAAACTATACGCGGACAATGTAAGATATATTAAAATCTTGCTGTGACATGCAATGACCTTCAATGCAATCAGATTATCGTTCGTCGACCTCTACACATGTCTTATTGCCGAGTCAGAGGTTGCACGCTTAAGTAATTAGGTACGATCCACTAATAACTTATATTGACATATATGTATGATCTAAAGTAATTTAATCACGATTTTACAATTAAGATTTATTTATGTATGCTATATCTATTTATTTGTTTACTTCGCTTTCCACTTGCAAAGAACTAAAGTAAACGAATATAATGTAGAGATTTCATAGATACATAGATATATTTCTGCCCACCTGAGCCTAAAGTGCAGTAATAGACATTTTGGTCGGTTTTGAGTTAATTATATATTCAAAATCCCCATTTTAGTAGCTATCAGTCAAATTAATTCTTTTTTCTGTAGCGCTAATAAAAGTATTTTATTTTAATGTTTTTTCGGAAGGTGTAACAGAAAAAATATCACAAATCTGTTAAAATATTCCATGTTTACCAGCTAAACCGCAGTATAATTAATACTGCACAAGATTTTTCTCTGTTTCCTAACTAAACTGCAGTGTTTTATCATATTTTGTGGCACTTAAAATAGTAGTTTGTTCTAGGAGATTCAAGAAAAAACTTATTAAAATGCAGTATTAACATTCCATACTGCACATTAACTTGTGTCAAAATAAACCTTTTCACTAAATGCATATGAAATTATATACGGTACTTATAAGAAAAACTAATTTTTAAAATTTTTTGTCTGTCTGTTTGTTCCGAATAATCTCTGAAACGGCTGGACTGATTTTGACGGACTTTCAGTGGAAGGTAACTGATGTTATAGGGAGTAATATAGGCTACTTTTATTTTTAAAAAAGAATTAGAGTTCCGCTCAAAAAAAAAAGTATCCAGGGACGAACCCGAGTGAGGCGAGGGTGAGTCGCTAGTTTAAAACATAGCGTCATAAAAGTAAGAAGGTGAATTAAACAAGGAAAGAAAGATTTCCGCTTTGCTGTGGCGCACTTTTCAAAATAGTTCTAGCATAGGCAAACAGCACTATAATTATATATTATTTTCAAGTAATAATAATTCAGCACACTTCACTCCGTTAAAAACTACTAACTTCACATCACATCTACTTGCTACGCTAGTGCTGTAACGGTGAGTTTCTGAGCTATAATTTGCTGCTCACTACTGGACACTTTTTCAACTTGTTTCCCATATAAGTTAATTCTTCTTGGTTCTCCCTTCCATAATCTTTTCAGACTATTATTTTTGTAAGACAAGAATATTCATTTAGTAATTAGTTATGTTCAGAAGAAAGATTTTATGTAAATTTTATTGATCCATGCATGAGAAATACATGTGATATAGTTTTATGGTGGATTAACTAGTTAAGATTATCAACATCTTGTAAAGATTGTTATATTGTTAGTCATATAAAACAATTTACACTATTAGATTATAATGTACAATGTTTTGATGAATAGTTTTAATAGCATAGTCATAAATGCATGTCCAAACTGGACTGTTTAAGAAATTACATATTTTTATCAAAATTAAAGGTAATTTTATATTACTATAAGTGTGGAATATCAGTGTTTTGTTCAAAAAAACAGATTAAATAGCAGTATTTTCATAATATTACTGCACTTTAGTTAGTAACAATCATGGAAGAAATGTCTAAAATGCAGTAATAACAGGATTTACTGCATTTAAAACAGTTTTTGAAAACATTATACAAATAAAGTGTGTGTAGTAATAGGGGCTAAAAAATTAAAATTGCCATAATTATAGTTTTTTATAAAAAAACTAACGTAACAATGTTTAGTATTTTAGTTTGGTACATATTCTTTCACTTTCCATTCAAGGTTTTATCGAAAAGTCTCTTTTTGATATATTTTTATGGATTCTAAACTTTAGGCGCGTTTTTCTCGAATTCGTGTTTTTGCTGTTACTGCACTTTAGGTTCGGGAGGGCAGATTTGCTAGGTTCTCATTTCAATCAATATACAAACCTTCTGTGTTGGTTGGTGGTTTTAGGTATAGGTACCATGTGATTCACGTTGACCAATACCAAATTTTCACTTCTAAGAACGATGAAAACGGTAATAGCAGGATAATTAAAACCTGCAACGAAATACCAATATATCTATTTGTATTCTTATTGCAGTTTGTGAAGGGCATAATCTCTAATATGCTAGTTATTAGCACTTTGCAAGTACTCATAGTTGTAGCTAGTTAAACTTCTCCATAATACGTGCTAGCTAAAGAGACAAATATGTCTAAAAACTGCCTACCTACTGATATTACCGGTAAAACTAAAGCTAAACATGCAATGACCATTATAGTACCTAATATATTTGCATTACGTAGGGTAGTTACTTTACCATCATATTTATTGAACCATGATTTCTGCTGAAGCTCGAACCACGCTCGCCGCTTCGCCTAAATTAGGATGCTGTTAATTAACAGCTAAAGGTCAACCAACATGTATCATCCCGCTGTAACTTCTATAAGGTGGCAGAAGAAAATGCGCATACCAGCGTCTCCTTTTCTACAGCTGAAAGGTGACACAAAAAGAGACCAGAGAAGTGTTGGCCTCACATTCTCTCTTGCGGCCGTCTGCTTAAGAGAGATGTCGGTTCGCAAAAGCTAATCCCCATACGAGAATTTTGAATTAAAGAAAAGCACCGATTACATACACAGTGCTGGTACTAACTACACTAGGACTTTCACGGGGAAAAAGAAATTGACCAGCACTAGTTCAAAATATTCTTCTAAATTATTGTGAATATGTTTGTTTGCAATAACAGATGTCGCTAATCCGCAAATTGTTAGGATATTTTATTTTTTAAATATGTGTACACTAAAACATGTGAAATAGTCTAAACTTATTTAATTACTATTTATTATTTAATTTAACTTCTGTCTATTGAAAGTTTCAGTGATTTACAGTCAAAAAGCCATGCTCAGCAATTCATTAAAAAATAAAAGCGCCATCTGTGAATATGCACTACAAACCTAGCCTTTCGTTTATACATATATAGGCGCGCGATTATGCTGCCATCTAGTTTAAAATATTGGCAGCAATTTATATTAATATTTTATGATTTTAAAACAATATCTAATTATATGCAAAATAAAATCAAATTTTTAATTAGTTCTTGGATATATTTTGGTGGATTATTATAAAATATTATATTTTTATGTAAAATTAATTTAATATCAATACGTTTTTTTGTTATGTGTCATATGATTACTATGTATGCTTTCCGCACATCAAGATTAGGTACCGATTAACTTAATAAGGTCATAAAATGATTTTTTGTGGAGATGACTTGTTATTTTATATAATTTTTGTAATTATAAAAAAATACTATATATAGTAGTAAAATAAAAAATAATCCTATATATGTTTTTATTTTGTTATGGAAGTCAAATATATTAAGGCAGAAAATAAAAGTATAAAATAATTAGATAACGTTTTATTGATATAAAACATGATCATCATAATAAGTTTTAGAAAAATATTAAACTTTTATAAAATCAACAAATATTGCTCTGAGGAAGATATCACATATTTATTACATTTTATTATAATTGCATGCTTCATTTTATTTAAAAAATTACATGACTTAATAACTAATACCCATTATAATAGTACCTAATTAAAATGCCAACACAAAAATTAATTAAATTTATATAAATATAAAGATTTAATAAATTTAACTAGTTATTAAACTATAAGTTTAATTGACATTTACCAGAAATAGTATACATTATATATTTGTTTAAATAGAACTTCATTTTATTTATCCAACTTTTGTGTAGATTTCATAAAATTGTGTGTATAAAATATATCAAACACCGTAATGGAATATAATAATATTAAATATATAAATATTTCATTTTAAAATACATCAAAATATTTATTATTTCTGGAATAAAAAATGTTCCTAACATTACATAATTTAATCCCCATATTGTTACAATAAATTAAATACAATCTTTTCCTTAGTTTACAAAAATATTCTAAAATGTATATTCTGAATTATTAAAATGCATTTTACATGATATAAAATGCCCTTTTCTGCTCAAACTCCTCTTTCAGTCTTAATAAATAATTAAAATTTCTAAAAAAAATATATTGCTTTTTCAATTATAATAAAAAAAATATAAAAATTAAATCATTAATATAAAAGACATATTTAAAATGTATTATTATACAAACTATAATCTGATATTTGTACTTTTGTGTCATGAAATCTCTTCTGAGTACATAATATTTCTTTGCTTTCATTCATACCTCATACATAAAAATAATTAATTAGTAAGCAACACCATATATTTTTAAATAAATCTTTTTTCATTATATTTTGTATATATTTTATTCTAAAAAAATGTACTCCTTTTACGTTTTTAATGGTATACCACTCTAGCCTCGAGATTTTTAAAGAAACAAACATGGCTTAAAAAATTAATTTCATTTCACTCTATCCGAATAATACTAATGCTACATAAAAAGTGTTTTGTACCATAATATTTAAAGAAAAAAAAAACGAATATATTGACACTAAATTAATTTGTTATATTCAAAACAACGCTGACTTGAATTGACTGAACTTTATGCCTTTGGTTTTTATTTTACTTTTACAAAGTATGTATGTTAATACCCTAACCACAAATCTATTATAAAGTGTTAGATTAAATATTCATGCATTTTCCCTGTCTCACTGTGTAGTGGTGTATGTGTTTCAGTGTATTAAATGTATATTGTTTGTATAAAGTATTTTCGTATGCTCTGTTTGTGTAAGATGTATTTGTGTGTGTGTCATGTTTGTGCACGTCAGCGGGCGGCGGCGGTGGCGAGGTGCGCGAGCGCGTAGTCGTGGTAGTACATCATGATGGCGAGCGGCTGGCCGAGGATGAGCGAGCTCCACACGAGCAGGTTGCCCCAGCGCGCGCCCAGCCGCCGCTGCGCCGCGCGCGACACCACCGACAGCGGCGGCTGCGCCATCATGCCCAGGAACGCCCAGATACGGAACATTTGCAGCGGGACGCTCACCTTATATATTTAAGGGTTAACATTAGAAAAATAATCATTTAACTGAATTTTTCAGCTGTTATTGCTATTCTGAACTACAGTGATTTTGGATTAAGTACAAGTCCTTGAATAAGGAAATATATTAGATGAAAAGTAGCCTATGTAACACGTCACAATCGTTTAAATCACGTCATTAGTTTGTTACGTTCAAAGGTCTTATTACAGCGTGAAATAAAGAAAAACTTGTACAAATACACACTTTTGTATTTAAGATTAACAATCATAGAAATATGTGTAAAAAAACAATACAAACCAAGAATTAAAATATATACATATATTTTAAAAGAATATCTCGCTTTACCAAACAACATAAAATCAAAATCAACTCACCAGGTACTCATGAAAGAAAGCAGATATGAAGAAGACGACAATACTAGCAGATGATTTACTATAGCCCATCTCCGTGATAGGTATGTACACGTGACGCACCGCCCACACGTGCACGGGCAGGTTCCAGGTGCTCCAGAACACGGCGATGTTGTTAGAGTTCCACCAGTCCCCGTAGAACTTGCGGTCCGCGAAGTGCATCAGCTCGCCCATCAAGTTGAGGAACGAGTGGAAACTCAGGTAGAAGAAGCACAGCCAGATAAGATGGTTAGGAACCTAAGAAATTGAAATTAACAACTAAGTTTAATTAATGTAGATAAATAAATATGAATAATAAACCAAAAGGCAAATTCTGTTAGATTATTAGTAGCAGAATTTCTGAGGAAAGGTGTCAGTAATGATCTACATAGCTATGATAGTTGTATGAACCAATATAGATGAAATTTGGTAAGAAGATAGTTTGAGACCCTGGGAAGGACATAGGATACTTTTTATCCCTGAAATCCTCCCTTAAGGGAGTGAAAATGGGGATGAAAGTTTGTATGGGGAATCAAGCCTAGTTACAAATAAAATGACACATCCTTATACTCATAACTTTACATTAAATATTAATTTTATATGAGTACCAGGAGCAAATGTTAAAATACTTACTGCGAGCTTCAATAAACGTTCTGTCATCTTCACAATGTTCATTTGGGAGAAGGGGTCCACAGAGTTTCTCACTGATGGGATCATCCATTGTTGGAACAACGCCAAAACTAAATTTATACCGAACACCACTTCAACTATCCTTTTTATAAGAAATCTTTTCCTGATTCTGAAATAAAAAAAAATATTGGTATTTTTCATCAATCTTACTAAAACTTAAATAACAATATGTGCAGATGTGTTAATTGTAGTAGTTAAGATACGTAACTTTATTTTAGAGGATTATTAAGTATAAGCTATAAGGATTGCAGTTTATTTAGTTCTCAAAAACTAAAAAAAAAACATTTCACCAACTCTATTGTATAGGATTTAACAAAACGAATCAAATGAGCCCAAATTCGAAGGTTTTTAGGTAGCATTAATAAGTTCCATTATCCACCTGGTTCCGTCACAGACCAGCTCAATAGCCGACTAAATAGTGCCGAGTTATAAAAAAGATATCAATCAGGACAATGCCTTATACAATGTACATATGTCTACATATTATTATTATTAACTTTTCTATAATTATAATGAAGAAAAAATTCGCTGAATATTTAAAAAGCTAGCTAAGTACACAATGTAGGAAAGAGTAATGTTTACTTACAATATAAATACTACGAGTACTACTAGTCTATGCTTACAGCTGTGCTAGGTACGTCATAAAGTATTTTATATGTATATATGTTAGTGCAGGACATGAGATATCTCCATTCCCATTCAATTCCTTTGAGCTGTTACAGCAAGAACTAACCAACACTTTCACTCATTCCCTCTCTCACTCACTCACCCATTCCCTAACATTCACTTCTTCTCTTTCTATATTATTCTAGTATGATACAGTACACAGATGCATTCCTTACCGAGTGGTGCGTGGGAAATTCAGTTCGTAGCAAAGGGTGGGTGCCAATAAAAAGTAAAACAGGTCTTTAAGGTTCAAATTATCTGGATATTTGACTAAACCAGACCATGCCTTGTCGTTTTTCTCATCTTCTAGGTTTTCTGAAGAAAATCACATACCAAGGTTTGTAAAGACTTTTGTCTTGCCAATGCTATTAACACAATTTTTAATACACACATGTTAGTCAAACATACATATTAATAATGTATTTATTTATATTTTTAATTTGTCATTCAAGAATATAATTAGGTATATATTTCTATTTCAAACAATTATAACAAGCTTATTGAAGCTAAACATATATCTGTATCTGAGAAGCATAACACTGTAACTCCGTTTTTTACGAATTTGTGTTTTTTACAGTATACTATTGCATGTGGCCTTTTCTATAATGGCATCACACTGTTTGTAGCAAAATCAACGATCTATTAGAGTTTTCAAAATTGTATTTTAATGTATTGCTGAGAAACATTCCAAAGCATAAGGTTTTAAGTGATCATACATTAATATCCCACAATTATTTAAAATGCATTTTACGGTATGACGGGAGTTACATTGTTTTGCCGCTACAGTTTTGACGACTAACTAACTAACGAGAATATCTAGGACCAGAATTGAACATAGTAAAAAGGTATGAATTGCATGTACAAAAATGTAAAGAAGATAGCGTACCAGAAACTATGATAGTAAAACAATGGTTATACCGAAAAGTTTTCAATGAGTATTTCAACCTTTCCTTTTATTTAACGACATATTCGATACTTGCGATAAATACACTTCATTATTAAAACTCGGCAGTAGTGATGAAGAAAAAAGAAAAATTGATAAGGATGAAGGACAGGACAGACCATTTAAAAGTTGCTAATCTATACAAATAAATAAAATTGAAGTGTCTGTTTGTAATGTCAAAATAACAGCGTTTTACTAAATGCACATGACATTATATACTTATAAGAAAAACACACTTTTTAAAATTTTCTGTCTGTCTATTTGTTCCGGATAATCTCTGAAACGGCTGTACTGATTTTGACGGGATTTTCATTGGAAGATGGCTGTTGTTATAGGGAGTAACATAGGCTACTTTTATTTTAGAAAAAGAATTAGACTTCTGCTTAAAAAATCAAAACGTACCTAGGGACGAGTCCGAGCGAAGCGAGGGTGAGTCGCTAATAATAGATATAGTTTAAAAAGAAAAGATGAAGAAAATGCTAGAGCATTTGGAGGACAAAGCCTCACGCGTGTGATGGACATGCAAAAATGTTTAGCGACTCCTTTATGTTAATAAACAGCCAGTGTTTTTTGTTTATTTTTAAGATTTCTAAGTAGCAGAATAATTGTGATGATGCTAATATTAGTGTAAAAGCATAACGCGGTATGTGATACATATTTTTAATATGATTTTTTTTTATTTAGTTCAAAAAAAATCTGATTAACTCTCTTAATGATCTCAATTTTGTTGCCAAATTAAAGTTAAATAGTGTAGTTCTTAGATTATTAAAAATTTTCTGCAATATTTCATCACATTTTATTTCACAAGGTTTATAAAGTCAAGATAGTCAAATATTTTTCGGAAAAGACAGTCTCCTGTGAAGTTTTGGTTTTGGTGCTTACAGTTATATGCATCTCCGGTACAGATATATTCGCACCTCTTGAACCATATGATAGAACACATCCACATTCTTAGAACAAAGGCTAAAGGTCATAAATTAATTAGACTAAAAAAATATATATAGATCATTTATATTTCAGAATAAATATTGAATAATAAATAATATTAGAAACCACTCCAGCGCAAATCAGAAGACAATATAATGTCGATATAGTAATGCGAAAATTAAAATAACATATCTACACTAATATTATGAAAAGGAAAGATTTGATTTTTTTGTTTGTTTGTTTGTACCGAATAGGCTCCGAAATTACTGAACTGATTTAGATGAAATTTGATAAGATATTTTGAGACCCTGGGAAGGATATAGAATAGTTTTTATCCCGGAAATCATCCCTTAAGGGGGTAAAATTGGGGATGAGTTAGTATGGGGAATTAATCTAGGGTCGAATCTGAGCGAAGCGAGGGTGAGTCGCTAGATTTACCATAAAACTACTACCAGAGTTCTATTGCTATAGATAATATTATATTTAAAAGATTATGATTATAATACTAAAAATCATGAGTAGGATTTGAATACTAATTAGTAAGTATGTTGTATTCAGCCCTTTTTAACTTCCCACTGCTGGGCACGGGCCTATCTTCAATACGAGGGGGATCAGGCCATAACAGCCGTTTCCTAAGCAAGCGTCTTACCACTGGGCTACTACTGTCTCTTGGTGAATATAATATTTAGTATATATCCTACTAATCTGGTAACTGATACTTATTCTAGACGTGTCTATTTGACTGTACCTAGCTAAGAGGAAAAAACGGAAGAAAAAACCAAATTCCAATTACAAGTATGCATCCAATGATGACTAAGCACAAGGCCGTTAACAAGTTTTTAAACAAGAAAGTCAATGATTTTGACGTTATTAAAGAAAATTGCCAAAAAGAAAACAAGAATCACTTTGATCTATAGATCTATACCTATGGAGGTATATAATTGTATATACATATTACATAATATATAAATACAGCAATATATATATATATATACAGCAATTAATTATTAACCTAATATCGCATTTTTATAATTATATCACTATTATATATTACTAAAAAGCCTAAACAGATACAAGTATCAGACAAAGCAGTAGCTTATTGTTGTGTCTAATAGATTGCTGCAGTGCAGAAAAGAAAAGAAAAATTATATATATATATATATATATATATATATATATATATATATATATATATATATATATATATATTTCATAATGAAAAAAGTAAGATATTATAAATTCGTTAATAATATATTTTGCATCTTATATTTATGTTTTATAATATTAATCCAACCAAGCAAAAACACAAAAACATAAAACTTTAATATGGGGCTGAAAAAGCTACCCAAAATATAATTACATACTACATATATATAAAATCACACAAACTGGGTGCAAATACATAGCTATAAGTGCGACACACTATGTTACATACAACTTACGCTCTTGTTCCGTGTTTACGAGTTCATCTGCAAATATAAGGTTTCCATTAAACAAAAACTTTTTTTAGGCCAAATTATCAAAAATACTGGCTGGCTTTTTTTATATTTTTTGCCAGTAGTATATTTTATAACGGATCGAACGTGGTGTTACATGTGTGTAGGAGGTATGCCCCACCATTTGTGCCTCACTGTGTAGGAGGTCATAGGTTCAACTTACGCACAACATAATTTTCTATTGACGAAGTAACTTTTACATTAGATCCACTCATTGCAACACCGAAAGTGAATAGATTTTTTACACTTTCTGTACCTCTACTCCACAAAAGAAGAGAAATATTAACTTCTAAAACCTTGTGTAAGATAATATCATTAAATGAACTTACTCCAATTAGGTGCAGATAAGCTTTGGCGACGCAATGTGTTTTTGTACTGCTTACTTTTCATCCCCTGTCTGCACCAATGATTTGTTTGACAGTAGCTCCATAGTTTAAGAAATAGCACTAAATATATCATGCAAACAGTCGTAATCCCCACTGAAACATGGAAATAATAAATTATAATATTACTGTTACTGTTTATTGATCTTACATTTTTAACCGACGAAAAAAAGGAGGATCTTAATCTGACACGTATATTTTTTCTTGTTTGACCACGCATTGCTTTATACAGTGTAGTCCGATTTCGATGATACTTTTTTTTATTGGATAAGCTAACTAGAAAATAGCGGATGATTGATTTTTCACGTACTGAAATACATTGTTCTTACTTTGCTACTACTATGTCTAAACTAAAAATGGAAAAAAAACTTAAAAAAAAAAAGAAAAAAAAACACTAAAAGGTCGTTCTTTTTCATAGACTTTTTATAAAGAGGTAAAATATTTGTGTGTAATGTACTAAATAAATGTAACTTTTTCTGTAATAGAAAACTGCCCTATCTTTAAAGAGCATAGCTATTTATGTGTGATAAGGTTATTTAAAAAAAAAGTGGTTAAATAATTTTGACTGTGGAATTGTATGCATATAAGATGTTCTCTTTTTTAACACGCTTTTAGTAGCTTTACCTGTATCTATCTATGTACCGGAATTCGGAACGCGATTTTGACCCACTTCAAAACTTCAGATTGAACTGAAATTTTGCTCATTTAACAAGGTTTGAAGACAATACAATAATTTATTTAAAAAAAATTAAAAACTAAAAAAAATCACGCGTTTATATAGCAGATCAAACTAAAAAATAGAAAATAAATTATACTTTGAAAAATTAAAAACTATAATAACCAAACCTTTGTAAAAGAAGAGTTGGTATAAAAAAATTAAACAAAGCACCCCACGTTTTTTTACAATAACATTAATTTTCTCGTTAATCACTTTATTCATATACTAAAAATTATTTTTTTACTTTTTAGTTTGGTTCATCATTAAAACATGTTTTTTTTTAGTTTTTTAAACTATAATTAATTACTTTCAATATCGAGAATATGTCTTCTTTACATTTTCTTCTAATACTACCAATTAATAAGTTCAGAACTTAAGTAATATTAAAATTAAAAGGAAAAAAATACTATCTATCTAAAGTGATCTACGTCTTATCAATATGTACATTTAGATCACATTCCATTTGAATCCCTTTAACAGTTTGTGCATTATTGAATCACAAACATCCAACAGCTTCATAAGCTATTTACTTTTTAATACATATAAATAAAATGTTATATACATACCAAAGCTAAAGTCTGGACCTTTAAAGTACAGCACAATAACAGGTAAAGAGATCTCTGTGAGTATATTAATAATTTGAAGAGTTATGCCAAACTTTTGTGACAATATCTCCTGAAAAAAAATTTTTTTTTTGTAAAAGTGAATACTTAGTACATAAAAATATAATATTATATAATTGAACTTACAACTGCTATTGCTTTTTCAATTAATAAACTTATGACAGCAGGAACAACACTAACTGAAAAAAATATTATAATAATTTATATTATAAAAATTCAAAGGCAACCAGAGTTAAACAATATTTGGTGATTTTAATTCTAAACATTTAATTATTTTTAATAAGTATTATAATTACTGTATTACTATATTTGTGTGTATGTGCCATTTTTGAAATCATTTTTGTAAATTTGTGGATAGGCACTGTCTGTAACAAGACTGTATATAACGCCTTTGAGATTTCTAAAACCTTAGTCTCTCCCGTGACCATGATTGCTATAAAGCATTCGAAACGTCGGGAACCAAAACTCAAAATAAATCCGCAAAATAATCTGAAAAGATGGTTTTATTTAAAATATCAATACTTACAAATTAGTAATATAACGGAAGGATATTGATGATTATGACCCTCATTGTAGCCAGTAAGAACAATGATCCACTCAAATGGATTCACCCGAATGCCATACCTATAATAAATAGCAAATTTAATAAAAAAAATTAAGAATTTCAGTTACACAAATTTATAACATAATTTCATAATTATTTAGCATAGCTTATAATATTTGAATATTAAATCAATTACAATAAACAAAAAGTTTAACTTGGTTTACAAAAAGGATGCAAATCTCCCACATTTGATATTTCTGTGCACAAACTAGGCACAAACATAAGTTCACTCTTAATCATTGTCTATTCTTGATTCAATCACTTTATTTAATGGCTTCTATGCATTCTCTATTATTCTTCTATTATATATCTTACACTCATCATCCAATTGACATCAACTGTAAACAACTGTAGTGTACTCAGGTACTGTGACTTTAGTAGTGTAGGGTAGTTTGTGAACAACCTCGGTGGGAAGAGCACTCTTTTACGTGAACTATGCGATCTAGTTGTTCAACAATGTCATCTTATATATTTATTTTTCGGTCGCCTGCTCTATTATGGAATGGTATTGACCAACAGACTTATTTATTTTTGCCCTAACATAAGATGTATTTTGAATTTTTTTAATAAAAATAAATAGAATTCGCAATAACCATATGTATATAATTTTGTTTTTTTAATTATCTCTCTCTGATGATCTCTCTACTGAAATAAAAAATACTAACAAACTAAAAGAGCAAACTAGTTCACCATAGGTCTGCTAATAAATGAGTACTCCTAATGGCGACCGACTTATAGCAAGACTAGACTTTAGAGATGTCAATCCACAAATATTTACTCTATTAGAAAACTGTTATAATAATCTAATTTATGGGAATGATATATTGTATGAAACAATACTTCAATATATCTTTCCCTTACAATTTGAATTTTCTATTAGTGTTAACTATTATAGCATGCCATGTTGTCTAAGCCATCTGAATAAATATAATTATGAATGAAACAACTGTTTTACAAACATTATGCAACAAATAAAAACTTACTTTAAAAAGTTTTCTAGGCACAAACGAAGTCCTCCTATTGTCAACATTAGGAAACCCCAATTAACTAATCCAGTAAAATTGGCAAATTCTGAACTCCATGAAAAAAGGGAATCTCTAGGTTTATGGCAACTGAAAATAAATATATTTTAAATATAATTGGTTGTATGCAAAAAAAAATTCTTATTCTCTGCAAAGTTTTTCTACACATAGCAAAATTGTGACAATAAAGAGACTTTTGAATAGATAAAAGTAGGAAAACGAAACTAATTATTTGTACTTTCAGGTATAATGTTATAACTAGGTACATATTTACTGCATTATTAATTATCAAGCTAATCTATGTTCAAAGTCGAAAAAATCTTTTAATAATTCTATAATGATAATGTACACTTTGTGTGCCTTACGGTTTATCTAACTGAGAATTTCTTGCTTTCTTTTCCTTTTCTGTAATCTCCTCTGCTTTTGTGACACTTTGCGCTCTTCTATACCGCAAAGCATTTTCCTCACTTTTGGTAGACATTTTAATAGCAGTATTCTTTTGCAATAAATGCCTATAAGTAAATAAATATCTAATACATAAAGAAATTGTTTATCTTAATCGTTGTATTCTTATCTTAAGCTAGTATTTGAAATCATTGTAGCAGTAGTTACGTTAACGGATTTTTTCTTACCTTAAACATAGACAATTAATATAAATAAAAAATAACTTGCTTCAATGTTTTAATTTAAAACAAATAATACTCAAACAAGCTTAACAAAAATACATTAAAAAGCTTATATTTCTAGGAGCATGTTCAAACTTTGACACATGGATGACAAATAAAATAACATTAAACAGTCATAAGATCAAAGTGCTTTGACCTTTGACATTGAAATTTAATATACCATAATAATTAACTTTCAGACTTCGAGTGTGAAAGCTTTCAGAAATTTATGGAGGGTAAAGCCTAGAAAGAGAACTATCTCTCGTATAAAAAATGACCGCTGCGGCGCTGACAAGCATCAAATTGGTGGCGTTACAGAAAACAAGTAGATGAATTTAAAACATAGTGCCAAAAGCCGTACGAGTAAGATGGTGAATTAAGCAAGGAAAGAAAGATTTCCGCTTTATTGTGACGCACTTTTCAAAATAGCTCTAACATAGGCTATACTAATATTATAAAGAGGTAAAGTTTGTGATCTTGTGAGTTTGTGAGTTTGTGACGTTGTAGGGGGTAATCTCTGGATCTACTAAACCGTTTTCCAAAATTCTTTTACCAATAGAAAGCCACATTCTTTCTGAGTGTCATAGGTTATATATTAACCCGAAAAATAAAAAGGCTTTTTCGTGGTAGTCGGATTTGCAAAGTAAGTCGTTGAAAAAATGGTCGAACGAAAACGTTTCTTACGAACGCTGCCTTAACGATGAGAGATATATGATTATGTTCTAGAGAAAAGTTGTAGAGCTTAATAATGCCTACAAAAAAGTCAGCGACAGCATATGTCTAACTTTTATATTTAAGTCACAAAAAGTAGTTTTTTATATTAAAAAAATAATTTAAATCGGTAGGTCATGTTTATTGGTCATATTATCAACAATTATGAATTCTTATCAAAATAAGTAAATTTATCGTCTAAAATGTTAAAAACAAAAGACTTTTCCCTTTTACTGCATATAATTTGGACAAATGGTTAAATAGATAATACAACATATTTGTAGGTATGGACGAACCCGAGCGAGCTGTTTGTCTGTTTTCCTGTTTGTACGGGCTAATCTCCGAATCTATTGGACCGATTTAAATGAAATTTTGCATGATGGTACCTTATATCCCCGGGCAACATCTTAGATACTATTCATCCCGGAAAATCAAAGATTTCCCGTGGGATAGTTAAAAAACTATAACAACTTATACAGCTTAGTATACAAACACTACTGATTGGATTTTAATGAAACTTTACAATAATATATAGTTCATACATCAGAATAACAAATAAGTTACTTTTTATCCCGGAAAAATGTACTGCTTCCGTGGGATAGATGTTTTTGTTTATATGTAACGTATTATGTTCACAACATAGACCCCAAAATAATAGTTATTAAAAAATTGTCTGTTTGCCTGTATGTCTGCTTGTCTGTTTTTGCGTGAGCGTTTCACGCGAAAAGTAATGAACCGATTTCAACGAATTTGGTGAAGTGATAACTTATTACTTTAGTCAACATTTACGATAACTTTTACGACAGGCAAATTATTCATTCCCACGGTTCAACAACAAATACTGATTCTATCGAATCGTCCATAGAAATTTATATGGGTAACGTTGGCCCAACCATAAGAGATAAATCAAAACAATGTGCAAGAAAATTGTAAGTCTTAAAAAGGTCTATAGAAAAGTTCTACATAGTATATGTCTATCTCCTAAGGTACACTCGCTATAACTATTTTCATTATTATATATTACTGTTTTATTATACGTTATTTATTCTATCTATACATATAATAAAACTGTAGAGGTTAGAAAAAAAATGCTAAAAACCGAGTCAGTTCTCTTCTTACATCCCGAAAGAAGAGAAATAGAACAAATCCAGTTTTTTTTTCAATTTTTTTGTTTCTCTGTCTGTTTGTTTGTACGGGCTAATCTCCGAAACTATTAAACTGATTTAAATGAAATATTGCATGGTAGTACCTTATATCCCCGGTCAACATCTAAGATACTTTTCATTCTAGAAAATTAAAGAGTTTCCGTGGGATAGTGAAACAACTATAGTAACTCATATAGCTTAGTACACAACAACTTATCCACCTAATTTAGTAATATTTGGCATGCTGATACCTTATATTGCCGGTCAAACAACAGGTTACTTTTCATCCCGGAAAAATGATAGAAAAGATCTTTTTTGTTTGTGCTTTTCTAGAGGTGAACCCAAGCGAAGCGAGGGTGAGCCGCTAGTAGAATATAATTACATACTATTTTTAAGTATATTATTATTCAGCACACTTCACTCTGTTTAAAACTTCACATCACATCTACTTGCTTCGCTAGCGCTGTGAGTTTCTGTATTACAATTTGCTGCTCAGTGCTCACCACTGGACACTTTTTGAATTTGTTTCCCATATAAGTTGTTTCTCCTTAGTTCTACCCTCCATATAGAAACGATATATTATTATATTCATATTTCATAATCTGTGTATATTGTTATACCTATCACGTAGTGGTTCTGGAGTTGGACTCTGGATTCTGGACTTTTCCTTATGGATAATCCGCAGAGATTTACGCGCTCAAACAAAAAATATTTCATCTTTTTACATTAGTTTAAATATTTATTAAATTTATTTCAAAACTGTTACATCGTCGAGAGGTGAATATAACAATTTTATAATCACGTTCTGTAAAATGATGTCGACATAGCCTTAAATATAAAGATTGTGACTTCACCAATTTTGGTCGTCTTATTGCTTTAGCCTACAATTTCTTCAGTGTTTGTTTTAGGGAACAAATGATATAAATTTTCTTTGCATCCTGGCACTCAACAATTTGTCAATTTAAATAAATTTTAAATAAAATGAAAAAAAAAATCCATCCACGCTAGAGCTTTACAATATACTGAGTATCATAGTGATCGTGACATCTGGCGGGAGAAAATGGCAAAATTCTTTCCCATTTTAGTAGTGAGATTATATAATCTGTAACTTGTAATGGATTATTTAAGTACCTTTAATATCTATTATCTATATCTGAATCCTGATAAACTTGTCAATTTAATACAAAGGTCACTTTTTTTTCCTATGTGAGCAGTGGATAGTGTGGGAGTGTAGTTAGTTATGTTAGCGTTAAAGTAATGTAAACCTTAATTGGAATTCTATAAAATTAATGGGATAGCCATTATTACATTAGAATTCTACTCCAGAAATATTAATATTGGGAAACATGAAGATTTGGACATCCGAACATACTTTTAAGTGCGTTGTTATGACGCAACATTGACAATGGTCCATTCACGAAACTCGTATTAAATGGTACAATTAAGCATACCTAACTTTTTTGCAGCCATCCTTGGGAAACAGTTGCGCAAGCAGCATGGAGGAAATATCCCAATCCCATGAATCCAGCAGTCGTAGGAATCGATGTTGTTGATAGAAAGGTAGTAAATGGAGTTTTACATACACACAGACTCGTCAGTTCTAAATGGTTTTTTCCACGATGGGCGCAAGCAGTAAGTATAGAAAAAAAACCAGAGTTATATAAAACTATAATTTAATATTTATATTATTGATCAATTTCAGATTATTGGTACTGCCAAGATTTGCTATGCTAGTGAAAAGTCCGAAGTGAATCCTAATGAACGTCAAATGACTTTAAAGACTAGCAATTTAACATTTTGTCACTACATTGCTGTTGATGAAACTGTTAAATATACTCCTCACCCATCAGACCCTGCAAAAACCCTTTTAACACAGGAGGCTGTGGTAACTGTACAAGTACGTAACAAAATTTGTTTATTATTTGATCAGCAATGACTGATCCTATTCTTATTACATGATATGACCTCTTAAATATGCATAAACAAAAACTACTTAACTCATTACTGAAATAAACAAGATTATTGTTTGGTCATTTAAATGTATTAATAGTTTAATGTGGATCATAATATTATTTAGTCATATTAAAAAAACCTAAAACCTAGCTAAATTATTATATTATTTTTAAAGTTTATTGAATAAGGTATTTGATGCTAATTGTAACAATTTTGTTTTAAATATTATAAGTTTCTTTTTATACCAAAATATACCTATAAAAATGTCTTTAGGGAGTGCCACTAAGCAGCTATATGGAAGATCTATTAACAAATAAAATTTCACTGAATGCTGGCAAAGGACGTCAAGCCATAGAATGGGTTATTGGAAAGCTAGACAATGAACTAAAAGAATTAGCTAACACAGCTTGCAAAAGTACAGATGAGCTTTTATCACAAACAAAGAAGTCTTTAGATGATATAACAACAACAGCAAGAAGATCCATGGATGATATATCATCCAAAGCCAAAAAATCTTTGGATGACATAGAAAAATTCAGAAAGGCAAATGCCAATCAACGGAGCTGAAAAGAGGAGTGACTTTTCTGATTGATGGTCATGAAAGGACTTGATAATAATAATGACTATTCATGCATGTGAAGCTTATGTAGACAAATTTTATTTATCAGAGCTTAATTTCTATTTTCTATGCAAATATTCTTATATAAACCAAAACATTCTCTGGTTCATATAAGTCCCTAAAAATAAACTCATATTATTTTAGAGTTAATGTAAAAACTTGTTTATAGTGAGGAATGTGTTTTATTTTATGTATATTTATTTGTTCATAGTAAATGATTTATTGGTGTATAGTGTTACTGATAAAGCATTTATCAGATAATATAGATTTTTAAATTATGCATTTTATGTATATAATAAAATATAAACATGCATTTTAGTATTTGATATGTTGCAACTAATCATAAGTCATTTAATCTAATGTTTGTTAATGTCACAACTAAATAAATGTTTCAGCAGGATGCATGTTTTATTATTTGATTTATTAAAATGATTTTTTGGAGTTGTGACTTTAAATATTACTATTAATATTAATTGGCATGGAAAATATAGTATAATTGCACAAATGTTACTTTTATGGCAGAAATGACTTGTAACAAAGTATTAACATTTAATGTCTTAGACGTTTCTCACTATATTTCATTGTACATTTTCTTTTTTTAATACAATACACTTTTGTTACTGGCAATGATTTCGTCTTTATTACACTCCTTATATAATAAATCGGGCAAGTGCAAAATCTATAACAATAGCAGCTTAATGAAATGGCTTGGCTTAAAAAGATTTATCAATCTTAAAGACCTAGCTATCCAGAGATACACATGCTTAAATGTACTCAAATTGATTTTTTTACATTTTAGTTCCATGTAGAGTGCCACTCCTCTTTTTTTATTTTTCCTAAGGAATTAACTGTAGGTTTAGGTGAAACACCTAGTTCAACGATGTACTTTAGGCTAAAAACCCTAATATCTAGAAACTGGGAAAAAGAACATTATTTGTTAGTAATAATAATATGTAGCTCTAATGTGGGATTTGTGATTATGGCAAGTGGCAAATTATTAATTTGACGACACATTTGGCTCAGTTTGTAGTGACCCTACTTGCTGTGCCAGTGGTCACAGGTTCAAATGCAACTGGGGACATACATTTCTGAGATGAGCACAAATGTTTGTGCTCTAGTCATGGGTGTTAAATTTAAATTTATAATATGTATGTATTTAAAAAGTTATATACATAGGTGTACTGTATCAACTATCTGATATCCATAACACTAGCCTTGTAGCTTACCATTGGAACTAAATGGTTTTGTCTGTTAATCCCATTAAAGGATGTTGAGTTTTAGAAAGGAATGTAAGTCTGAAATATTACACACATCTTCAAAAACAATAATATAAAAAGAAACATTCAATATTTTATGAGCAAAAAATTAACCAAAATACTGATGAAATGTAAATAACACAACTTGTATTTAATTATGACTATTTAATTAAATCTAAATTTACAAATTAAGTAAAATGACAATTTTCTAAAGCTCATTGTGTACTAGTCCCAGAAGAGGTCATACTGCCATTTGCTACACCAACTGGTGTTCGATTAACAGCTGCCAAATGTGATGCTTTATGTCTCTCTAATTCATTAACCCAAGACCGTACATGTTCAAGTCTATGCCAGGCCATTTGCAGTACTTTTTGTGAAGCATAGCCTGAGCCTTCGTGTGGTTGACCTGTTGACACTTGAGTCAAATAATTTATTTGATCACTCAATTTTGATTCAACCTGACTTAAAGTTCTAAGAAACTGAGAAGTATTACTTTCTGCTTGTTTTTGACTTGACTTCTCTTTTCCCAACTCTAATAAAGCTTGAGCTAAAAAAAACTGTACATTAATACAATATTGAATATTTTAATAAAATACAAAAAATACAATAAATATTTACCTGCACATTGTAAGCAAGTAATTATATCTTTTTCAATATCATCCAAAACCTGAATTCTTTCGATAGGACCAGCCATGTTATTGATATAATCACTAATAACTTTACAGTTATTACCTTCTTAATTTTTTATAATAATGGCTTTGGGGCAACTTTGTTGAAAAAATATTTAGTTGATAATTTAAAAATTTATAATTTATAAATAATTACATGAATACTTGCTGTTCCTGGTCTGACATTGATAATTGATTTAAGACCATAGATTATACACTTATATATCTGGTACTGATTTAAGACAAGTCTCAAAAGTCAAAACCACATCCGACACCACAGACCAAGAACAACAATAGTCAAAACTTAAAGCGGCTACTCACACCCTTAATTGCCACCTAAATTGTGATGTGTAAGTCAAGCAGGGGTAATTTTCTATATTAAATCTCTTTTTACGTTATCTCAAAATTTTAATTATAAAATATTCAATTATAATTAAAATTATAAAAATGTTTAAAGTTAAAATATTGTAATGTAATTGGTGCAATGTTCATTTTGTTGATTGTGGGTAGGCTGTCTGTAACAACTATATCTGTAAGACATGTAACACCTCAGTCTCTCCCGTGACCATGGATGCTGTAAAGCATTCGAAACGTCGGGAACCAAAACTCAAAATAAATCCGCGAAATAATCCGAAAAGATAGTTTTATTTAATAATGTCAAACATTCGCGTAAATCTAAGAAAGTATTATGTTTATAGTTGTTTTTAAAACTATTTACCGAGTAGTCCAAAATAATTTAGTAAATATAATCGAAAAAAAATGTAGTGATATAAGCGTAGAAAGATTAATTACATTTTATGAATTTTTAATAATACATTTTCAATATATACCCTCTTGCTACCATCGCGCCACTCTAATTTAACGCATTTCAATGAACATATTTTTTTCGTCCCAGAGACACGACAGCTACCCTAAATACGTCAATGTTATCAAATGTCTTAGTCAAAGTCAAGTATCATTTACTTTCGACTCGGCCATTTTTGTTGCGATAGTCATCAGACATGGTACGTGTGATACAAATTTAATCGTTAAATAATTATTTAATCATGTGCATTTTTTTAGAAACATTATATTTTTTTAAAACTGTGAATAATCATTATAACAACATCGTACTTATTTCCGTTAATTAATACTTAAGTGATGATAAAAACCACATTTTTCATATACGGTTAGAACCTGAAATGATATGAAGATACTAGGGCGGACTGATTTAATTTTTTTTTCTATAGTTAGTGTATGTTAACATGACTGGTGTGTAATGAAATTGTTGTTTTTAGTCGCATAGAAAATTTTCGGCGCCTCGTCATGGATCTATGGGATTCTATCCCAAAAAGAGGTCTCGCCGTCATCGTGGAAAAGTGAAGGCGTTCCCTAAAGATGATGCCAGCAAGCCGGTGCATCTTACTGCCTTTATCGGGTACAAAGCTGGTATGACCCACGTGGTTCGTGAACCTGACCGTCCTGGTTCAAGTAAGTTACATACAAAAATTGTGATCTATTACATTTACCTAATCCAATTTTATGATTAGTCTTACACGTAATTAATTTATTTTAGAGATCAACAAGAAAGAGATTGTGGAAGCTGTAACAATTATCGAGACACCTCCCATGGTATGTGTTGGTGTTGTCGGCTATATTGAAACACCCCACGGTCTACGTGCCCTATTGACTGTATGGGCTGAGCACATGTCTGAAGACTGCCGTCGCCGCTTCTACAAGAACTGGTAAGATTATTGTCTTGAGTAGATTTTATTGTTATTTGTGTATTGATTAATATGTCTAATTTCACTCTGAATCTCTCCTCTCTTAAGATGAGAGTTAACCCCTAAATATGCTGGTGCATATTGTTGCCAAGTGGTCTCCGCTCAACGATGAGGCCATTTGGTTTTTCTTACAGCTGCCTAACTTTCTACTTCAAATAGGTACAAATGTAAGAAGAAGGCTTTTACAAAGGCAAGCAAGAAATGGCAGGATGAACTTGGTCGCAAGTCCATTGAAAAGGACTTCAAAAAAATGATTCGCTACTGCAGTGTAGTTAGGGTTATTGCCCACACACAAATGAAACTGCTTAAGCAGCGTCAAAAGAAGGCTCATATCATGGAAATCCAAGTGAATGGTGGAACCATTGAAGATAAAGTGAAATGGGCTAGAGAACATCTTGAAAAACCTATTCCTGTAGATTCTGTCTTTACTCAAGATGAGATGATTGATTGCATTGGTGTCACCAAGGGCAAAGGATACAAAGGTTAATATTTGTCTTTTATTCCTATTTCTCTTATCTATTTAAAGAGATGATTTACAAATAATATCTATTCCTTTCATACTGTCAATTCACATAGTCAAATTTTAAATTCCTTACTTTTCATCTTACAGGTGTAACCTCTCGTTGGCATACTAAGAAGCTGCCACGTAAGACACACAAGGGTCTACGTAAAGTTGCTTGTATTGGAGCATGGCATCCTTCAAGAGTTTCATTTACTGTTGCCCGTGCTGGTCAAAAGGGCTACCATCATAGAACTGAGATGAACAAGAAAATTTACAGAATTGGTCAAGGTAAAATATGCTTTCAATTTAATCATGTCAAATTTTAGTCCTTGATCATAGCATTATTTTTATTTATCAATCATAGAAGATTGTTGTGAACTTACATTTTCTATATGTGATAGTTAAAAATTAATTATTTTATAGGTATTCATACCAAGGATGGTAAAGTCATCAAAAATAATGCTTCCACTGAATACGATTTATCTGAAAAGTCTATTACACCCATGGGTGGATTCCCTCATTATGGTGAAGTGAACAATGACTTTGTCATGATCAAGGGTTGTTGTATGGGACCTAAGAAGCGTGTTATCACATTGAGAAAGGTAAGATTACTAAATGTTGAATATTTTATCTTTTAAGTTAATTCGTTTTAATAAGGACAGTCTACAATTACATATGCTGATGCATTTATAGCTTAATTAACTATAAAATAAAATTTGAATGGTGTTTTTTTCAGTCATTGAGAGTTCACACCAAGAGAGCGGCACTTGAGAAGATCAACTTGAAGTTCATTGATACATCATCCAAATTTGGACATGGTCGCTTCCAGACACCTGCTGATAAGGCTGCTTTCATGGGCACTCTTAAGAAGGACCGTATTCGAGAAGAGGCTGCAGCAACAGCTGCACCAGCTGCTACTCAGTCATAAGACAGTTTTCTTGAATAAATTGACATGAAACATTTTTATTTTTTTTAACACCAGTTACCATTTAAAAATGTTTTAAGTAACCAATTGGTGCTTGTTTCACACAAGCATGTAGTTGTGTAAGTTACCTAGGTATTTGTTATTCGTCGCGGTTGTATGCGAAAGCGGTCCCGTGGCGTCCCACATGGCGGCAGGGGGGGAAAGTTGGATTTTAGTGGGTATGCTGGTCTCATTAGCTGGAGAGTCTCCACATAACCACCCTGGGGGAAGTAGGGTGGTATCCGTAATAGGATTTCCCAACTATAAAAAAAAAAAGTATTTGTTATTACTACACATAATAAGTTGATGATATTATATGTCTAGTCTACCATACTTTGTTTAAATATATTGTTGCTACATCATTTTTCTTCTAATCATTTAATTAACTTCTTATCATAAAGATTTCTGTTTTCGGTCTGTGGCGGTTAATTATTATTAGAGATATAAGATTTTTTAAATTTCTATCAAGAGTGATTCGAAGTTTGGGGGCACGGGGGTGCGACCGCCAAAAGTGGAGCAAAAAAGTGCACAGTCTTAACATCTTTTTCTCGAAGCAATTAAAGACATTTTCTACCGCCTGTAACTTTGTTGTGGATAAAGCTAGAACCTGAATTTTCAATAACTAAAAGGACAAATAACTAGGTATATTCCCAAAGTAGCGACTTACCCTCGCTTCGCTTTGATGCCTCTGGGTACATTTTAATTTGTTTAAACAAACTTCAATTCTTTTTAACCGACTTCAAAAATGGAGGGCGTTTTCAATTCGTCGGAATCTGGTTTTTTACTATTCTCAGAGATGAGATTTTCCCGCAATAAAAAGTATCCTATATGTTGACCCGGATAACCAGATATACCAAATTTCATCAAAATCCCGTCAATGGTTTTCCGTGATGCGGTATAACAGACAGACAAAAGTTCTAAAAACTATGGGTTCGGCCTCTGTATCGATAATAAAGTCTACTTCAATAAGATTTTCCAAAAAATATTTCATGTACAGATTTTTTGGCTTAGTTGCAATTTATTATACATATTATGTATGGATGTTATGTTCCCCGATTAGTCGAAGAGGCCTGGACCGATTTGGATAATTCTTTTTTTTGTTTGAAAGGGTATACTTCTCAGGTGGCCCCATAGTCATCAGGTCTGGATTAAGTGATGAGAACTGGAGAAATCGAGGGAACTTCGAAATTTATAGGCACACTTGAAGCAAATTGGGATTTTTTTTCTACTACTACGTTTACTACTACTACTAAAAAGGGAACGAAAACTTAAAAAAATAAAAACTACTTCAAAACACTTACAAAATAAGAACTCTGTTGCCCGATTTCATCAAGAACCCATAAGTTATCACCTACGTATGGGATCCCTAGCTCAAAAGTCTTCTAAACTAGCCCCTAAATGAAATATCGTTTTACGATCGTCTTTAAGCCCATATTTCGAGCGCCTAAATTTAGGGGGCCTTTTAACATTTAGGTGACCCCTAACTGTCGGTGAAACAGAAACTCCCCTAACCATGCTTAGGGGATCCCTTAAACTTAGGTGACGTTGGTGAAATCGGGCATGTACTTTAATTATATCAGCTGGCACCGACTAGTGGCCAGGGCGGCAAATTTTTAGGGGCTACAAAATCGGGAGGGTGGGAAAAAAATTTTCTTCGCGTTATCAAAAATGCTTTTTGTATTTTCCAAAAAATGAATAATTAAAAAAAATTAATAAGTACCTAAATTTTTCGAAAAATTGGAGTCATTTATAAATTATTATTTATTGCATTTTTCAAAAAAATAAAATAAAAAAACATTTTAACTCGAAACTATACCCATTCTATGCAAAATTTCGATAATTATGCGGCATTTTTCACTGCCGAGGGGCGGCGGTAAGGTTGAATACGGCACTGTGTATAGTTCTTTATAATATCTATAGGTATGTATATTGAATGAAAATGCATTTAGATATTTTTTACTTTTTAGTGTTTTGAAGTCTGGTTTTATTTATTGTTTTAAATTTAAAAATAAAAGTAGCCTAAGCTACTCCTAGTAACATAAGCTACCTGCCAGTGAAAGTCGTGTCAAAATCAGTCCAGCCGTTTCGGAAATAGCTGGAACATCCGATCGTCAAAATTCTAAAGTACTTCTGAGTACTAGCAGACAGACAAGCTTCGAACACAAATGTTTAGCCTATAAACCAAGAAAAAACTTCCCGCAATTCTAGTCTCGTTTTCTAGATATACAATAAACTGCATAAGTAACTTTATACTATATACTAATATAAAAAGACAGGGTATGTTTTTTTGAACGCGTTAATCTCAGGAACTTTGTACTAATCTGATTTGAATTTGAATTCTTTTTGCATTAGATAGCCCGCTTATTGAGGAAGGCTAATAATAGGCTTTACATCATCATGCTACTACCCAAGGGAGCGGAGTATAGTAATCATAAATGTCAACACTGCTAGTCTGTTATACATTTAAGCGATTAGAAGGTTATTTTTGCAGTATATATATATATATATATATATACATATATATAAAATTTTTCGTCACTGAAACTACCCAGATGGATAGATAGGTAAATAGTTGATATATATTTTATTCAGTGCATTAATATGAAATTACGAAGCATCTATCGAACAACTGTCATAAATTGTTACCCAATTATTTAAATATCAACCTTATATAGAGACTGTATCAATATTACATACCTATCTTTATTTCTTTAATAAATAGGATGGCTTCGTCATCAGATGAAAACTTAATAATAATATTCTACTATTTTAAAATAGTCTTAATTGAACAAACCGCTACCGGGTCAAATTTATGTATACACAAACATAAAGAATACCTACTCTCAGAACGTTAATATTAGGCAAATATAAATTGTTATTTGCCATGAACGATGGCCAAGTCATTCTATTTCTTAAAGACATAAAGATACTGGAGTAATGAGAATTATAGTTTTTCCATAATTTGTCTACAATTTCTTCAGTTTTTTGTCTTTGGGATCAAATGAAATCCAATATTTTCTTTGCATTGGGGCACTGCACAATTTGTCATTATAAATAAAATGAAAACAAAACCGTCCACGCATAGAGCTTTACAATAGTCTCATCATAGTGATCGCGACATCTGGTGAGGCAAAAGGAAAAATTCTTCCCCAGGCCCATTGTTGAATGCAACGGAACCATAGAGTATATTGCTATATATAAAAACGGAACTTTCAATTCAACGTACGAATCAGCTTTGCCTTTGTCCGTTTTTTTTTTGTATTTTTTAAATTTTTAATTTATCACTTGTTGAAACATGAAATACCTTTTAAAGTAAACGGAATGTTAATTTGATAGGAACTTAATCCTTTATCACAGAATACTTTATTACTCTTAGCGAAGTCCTATCCTTTCTTCAGTGACATAATCTGTGTTTGGCATTTTGACAGTTAATTAAGTAATAAGTTACGTACGTATCCAATCAAATCAAAATATTTTTGTGATTACTGATTACTAAAAATATACTGAATGTGCAAATACATACAAAGAATTTAACGTTGAAACATAAAAATATAATGAATAATTCTGCGGCAAAGGTACTATTATTATTATGCATTTACATAGTTTTTTATTATATTTCGGATAACACGAAAACGAATTCTTCGTTTTCAGGTTGGTGAAATATTTACAGAAGCTGGTGCAGCATTTAATAAATTGGCAGAAATGACGATGATGTTACACCCAATGTCAGAACCTCAAACAAGGTATTAAAAAAATTATATACAGATTAACGAATTTTATAAATATATAGGCGGTAAGCTGATTCTCTACTGGCTAGCACTAAATTACAACACTTATATTATTGTTTTATTGTGTTCAATGATAATGTTTTAAATTTTAAAAGTATAGGTCAAATTATCATGGATGGTAAAGTAATTAATTTTATAAAATTGCCACTAGATATATTTTATTTCCTACAATGTTGTTTCATGTTCTCAGTTCTCAGCCAAAAACCCCTGTAAAAAGAAAAGCCCAAGAAGAACGATTGGGACCTTTGAGTAGTACTGGTTCAGGTCAGGTAAGCTATTACCAATCAATAATATTTCTATTTGAAATGTAATTTGCAAAAAAATTAGGATTCACCATACTAATTTACATAATAACTATGACATTTAACATAACAATTTTACTTAATACATTTCTGTGATAGTATTTATCTTTTACAGCTTACACTTAACATGCTTAACTCTCAAGAAACAGAAATGGATGTAGATACACTTGGTGGTGATGTTAAATTGGAATTTGAATCTAGCACAGAAGAAGTGACAACATAAGTAGAAAACAAAACATAACTTCATTATCTTGTTATTAAAAAAATTTGAAAACACTAACCTTTATGTTATCATTTATGTTTTCTTTTAAGAACCATAATTACATTTTGTTTAATATTCAAATGATTATAAGGCAACTAGCAGAACTCATGGCTCACCCTGATACAAAATACAAAAAAATCGATTCTTCTTTCCCTTCCCTTTACCATTAATGTATGGAAGTCAGAAGGAATTTGTTGAGATGATTACTGCTATGCTCCCTTGGGTAGCATGATATTATGCTGCCTATAGCCTTCCTTAATAAGTAGGCTATCTAATAGAAAAAGAATTTTTTAAATCAGATTAGTAGTTCCTTAGATTAGTGCATTTAAATAAACATACTGCCTCTTTATAATATTAGTATAGATAATTATAATCTTTCCATTCTTTGGACATTTTTCCATTATATGTCAGTCTAAAATAAATGAAATATTACAGCTCGTTTTTGATTTGCCTAATTTAAACAATACCAATGAATCCTTGGTTAATTTTATGTTTTCTTTAAAACATTAAAAAGAAAACTTATACGAAAACATCTCTTAAACTTTGACAGGAATGCTGAACATTTCCGTCACAGCATAAGTCTATATCATATATAAAAGCTTTATTATTATTTTGTTATGGTAATAAAATCATTTTAATTTTAAGTAAATAAGTAATAAATGAAATGAACATTACTTTATTAAATTAATAATCACATTTCATAATATATTGTGACCATTTTACCTGTAAGTCATGATTCTAGTATTCTCAATACAACTCATACAAGCCTCAAAACAGCATGCAAAAAATATTGATTTCTTTATGTTTTCTTGTACTTTGTTTGCAAATGATTGTAAATATTGCTAAATTTAGATGTGCAACCGGTGTATATTCCACATCAGTTTGTTCATAGTTCAAATATTCATTTCACTGTCTAATATTTACATTGTTTTGCCTGAAACTATTAAAATTATATCATTTAATTTCATGAAAGAATCCTCAACACCTCAATCATAAACATCTTGTCAATTTTTATTTTTATTAAAATTCAATATTTATGAATCTTCATTGAAATATTTCTTTTCTATAACATATCTTACACATTGTAAAATTATGTTTCTCTCATGCTGAATTTCTTTATGTAACAATTTTTCTAAAAGTGTGGAAGGTAATTTTTTTCTTAATTTTACTGAGTTCCTTGTTAGTCTTTGTTTGTTTGCCAAGCCTGATCTTTCTTTTCTAGTCTTATTATTGGATATTTGTAACTCATTTGCTGAAACATTTTCTTTAATTATTCTGGATTCTTCAGGTCCACTGTCATCTTCGCTTTCATTATGATCTGTTTTACTAGTGTCTGTCACATTGTCCTGAGGTATTTTATTCTTATCAATTAACTGTTCAATTGGTTTAACAAATATTTTGAAAACACCATTATTAGGTTTTAATGTATTATCTTTTTCTTCTACTTTTCTTTTATTTTCATCCGATATTTTGTCTGTTTTTTCACACGTTTTATCTGTTTTTTCCTCAGGATCATCTTCATCTGATGATCCGTAATTGCATATTAAGGATGTGAGAGCTCCACAAAGTGTTGGTTCTGATTGATTACCTTTTTCAACGGGAATGTTTTGTTCTTCATCTTCTATTAAATCATTACTTTCAATGTCTTGTAAATCTTCTTCAATATTGTCTTCATTTAATAAATCCTGAATACCCATGAATGGTTTGAGCTTTCTGTTTTCTTCCATAGGAGGAATAATTTTACATATTTTCTTTGCCAGTGGTGTTTTTTTATGCAATTGTGGTAATGTTCTTTTTCTATTATTTAGTGTTCCTATATTTTTTCGATTAGATAAATGAAGTTTTCCTTTCTTTTGCATATCTGTAAAATTAAATCAAATTTTAATATTTTACCTATTAACCAATATGCAATATGGACATACTGCGCTGATTTCAAGCTTTAAGAACTAGTTTTTATTTTTGGAGTAGAATGCCGTAAAATATTAAAGATGAAAAAAAGGATAAGATATTATAAAAGAACTTTTTTTTTACAAAGACAAACCAATAAAAATGACCTAATTTTTGTATTTCGATGGATTCCGTAATCCATATATACGAAAATGAAATAGATACTTTTTAAATATTACATACATAAAAGGGAAAATTTTACCTTTATTGATATTCTTCATATTCCTTTCTCTAGTCATACCCATCTTTTCACCTCGTTTTATTCTTTCCTTCATTTGAGCTTGTTTTTTTTCTACATTTTCTTTAGTGGGATATTTCTTTTTCCTTTCTTCTCTCCATCTTTTTATTTCTTCAGGATTATTAAGTCTACCAATTTTCTTAAATAAACCAGTGGCATGTTGCATCTGAATATGCTTAGTTATTACTTGTGGATGTGCTACAAATTGGCATCCATCAATATTACATTTCTAAAAATATAAAGAATAAAATTACTATTAAGGATGAAAATTGAAACAATTTATTCTATTTTTATCTCAAAAAGGAACAAGTATAAATAGAATATTACAAAAATTTTGAGCACCTTCTATGTATGCCAGAAAAAGGGCTACTGTGAGGAAAACAATGTTCATGAAACCACAGGTTACAGTATTTCATAAATACACAACATGAAATAATGTTTTATTTCATTTTGTGTATTTTTTTTTGGGAAAAGTACCAAATAAAAAGAACTATGTATAACAAGGTAAAATGCGCATGGATTGCCACTAATTTTCAATATATTTGACATAATCTATGTTGCTTATCATGGTAATGTTTTCAAAGAACATGATAGCAATTTGTATCCATATTCTTCTTTTTGTGAACTATTTGGTATCTACTCAATATATCTAGCAAATAATTATGTGGCTAAATATATTTTTTATATAATTTTATACTATATACATATTTGTCTACCTGATGCAAACTCCTATGGTATTCAAGATGAGCTGGTGTTCTAAAGCCTTTGTCACATGTTTCACACCAATATTTATAGTCAAATTCCAATAATGGAGATGTCCATACAGGTCTAGTAAAATGTCTGTTATGCAAATTATGTCTTTGTCGCCACATATTGTGTTGGTTCCATGATGTATTTTGAATGGGTCTCTGATTAAAGCGGTTTTGCATATACTTAGCCATGGTGACAACAAGTCCTGCAATAATAGGCAAAAATAGATTGAATAAATAGATGGAATTAATAAGAATCAAAATTCATACTTTTCAATAAAAGACTTGAACATATTATATAATAAGATAATATTTTTTTTAAATATTAAATACTACTAAATGATTAGAAATTGTGTCCTTGAATGTATAAGTTACTAGCTATTCCTAGATGCCAAACTCTTGCCTTACCTTAAATTAAGGTAATAGTCCGTATGCGTACGTCTAAACACGTCTAGCCGTTTCAGCTTAAAGGAGTAACAAACATACACCACTAGAGAGAATAAGTAATTTAATATGTTGTCTTTATTTAATAGACACATTTCCATTTAAATAAAGTATATGTTCTATCCTATTGACGAATTTCAAAATTGTTTCAATAAACGGTTTTGTTTATGAAAATATGTATCAAACATACGAGGTTATAAATTTTACTTAGTACCTACAATGTGTTAAAAATATATTGATTCGTCACCTTAATTAATTTTTCTTTGTTGATTATCTTGCGTAGAAAAAAAGAATAAAAAGTACTACGTTGAGCAAATACTGAATAAATGAGATATCAGATAATATTGTGCAAATCTACAAATTTCTTCTGTTATCCATTAGCCAGCCATTGTATTTTTATTTTACATTAACTGTCAATAATGATTAATGTCAGTGATGGATGTAGATGATTAAAGTAAAACTGTCAGTATTTGAACCTCATAATCATAAATTATTTTAGGGTAATTAATTAATTAAATATAGGGTAACTTTGAACGAAGTTTTGTTAATAATATATCAACAGCATACACCAAAAGTTTTAAAGAAAATTAAATTTGTAACTTATTTTTTATTAATAGTTGTATGAGAACTATATGCATAGCAATTTCTTACTAATCGTAAGATACCTATTACAATACTGTAGACATACAACATTAAAAAAATAATTATATAGACACATAACGTGCTCATTGTGAAGAGTATAATATTAGTCCAATCGGAATAGTCTAGTAAAAATCTACAACTTTTATAAATAACACTTTTTACAATAACCTCAAAGTTTTCGAGATGTTTGCAAAAAACTTAGTTTTTAACTTTTTCTTGGTTTTTTATTTTTAATTTCTAGAATAATCTTTTGATTTTCATAAAACTTAGTAAATGTAATCTTCAAAATACATATAATAATGAAAAAAAAATCGAAATTGAAATATGTAGCCATTTCCGAGAAAAGTAACTTTTATGGTCCCGAGAGGTTGAAAATCACCCACCCCCAACTTCAAGTGGACGCTAAAAAATGAAAAATATATTTTTTTTAATCTATAATAGGTCCTTGTAGAAATATGACTCAATTTTTTAATATTACCCTTTGATCTACTGTGCATCCATCAAATGCTAAGATATTGATGATAAAAAAGAAAAGGATCATTTTTCATCGAAAGTCGAATATCTTAGGAAAAAATCGACGTAGAGTTCAGTAAAAAAAAATTTTTATTTATTTTTTACCTAGTCTTAAGATTTTTTAATAAAACTATGACTAAATTTTGTAAATATCAACTTAATTTTTTTAAATTACATTATTAACTAATGAATAAACAAGATTAGACAATTTATGAATTTAATTTCGTTCTATAATTACCTCAAAATCAATTCTTTAGAAAAAATCAATAAATGTAACTCCAAAATCGTACAAAAACTAATAAAATATCGATTATTTCGCAAAAATAATAGCAGAGATAAATTCTACGGTAAAAATAATACAAAAACAGTGGTATGCTTTACGTGGAGTCCCAACTTTTATTATGTTTTCACGATTCTTTAAATTACAAAGTTGGAATGCTTACGGCGACATTGTATAAATAATAAGCGTCAAATTAAAAACACAGTTTCAGTTTATTTTGTGTTCAAAGTTATCCAGTTTACCATCTCTATTTTATGGCATCTCATCACGAGCAAAGATAAAATTAGTTCAAATTAAATGCCAATAGATGACGTTACATGTATCGATTTGCTACTATAAGTTGTTTTAAATTAAAATAAAATATATCTCAAAAAGGTATATTATTGTTTTAATTTTTTTTAAGTGAATCGAAAATATGTGCTCTTAAATTAAATTTGCATTATTTTACTGATTATTGAAATATCAGTAATTAGATAAAATACTATTTAAAAAATTCTTTTTGCATTAGATAGCCCGTTAATTATATATCATCCCGGAAAAATGTGCAGTTCACGTAGGATAGATTTATTTTTGTCTAGGGATGAACCCGAAGCGGAGTAAGGGTGAGTCGCTAGTTATTTATAAAATAAAACAGTTTAACTTTTGCGATTCTACGACATATTATTTAAGCAAACAAAAATAGCCCGAATGAGGAAGAATTTTGCATTTTTCTCGCGCTAGATGCCGCGATCACTAAAATCCTCAGTATATTATGAAGCTCTATAGCCTGGATGTTTTTTTTTCATTTTATTTAAAATTTGATTAAAATGACAAATTATGCAGTGCCAGGATGCAAAGAAAATGGATATCATTTCTTCCTAAAAGACAAAAACTGAAGAAATTGTAGGCTAAAGCAATAAGACGACCAAATTTGGCGAAATCACAATTTTTATATTTAAGGCTATGTGGACATCATTTTGCAGAAAGTGATTTTAAAACTCTTAAATCGTCTACAGATGAATATTTTATTTTTATTTTTTGTACTTTTTTACATACCACTTGAACCCCGCTGGTGCCTATAGGCACCACTTCCGGGTTCCGGCGCTACCGTCAAGCCCCGCTGGTGCTTATAGGCACCACTTCGCCCGCTGCACTTTTATCACTTATTACAAGATGAAATCAGTTTATTTTATGCTAAATGAGTGATACACAAGTAAGCTTTAGAAGTTTTATGAAGTATATAAAAAATAATATTTTAATTAAATGCCGACAACGTTAAAAATAAACGCGTCAAAAATAGTTTAAACTTAAAATGAAGCGCGCGCGATTCGCTATGGTTTTTGTGTAATTTGAAATCTTTAAACTAGTGAACTTATGCCGTAAACGTATGAATATTAATTGTTAGTATTTTTTGCCACTATTGAGATACTAATAAGTGTACAATCACGTTATAAAATTAGTTTTTTTGGTCCAACAAATTTTGATGTATACATTTCGTAAAATAAGTCGCCATTAATACTTTCTTAGATTTACGCGAATATTTGACATTTTAAATAAAACTATCTTTTCGGATTATTTCGCGGATTTATTTTGATTTTTGGTTCCCGACGTTTCGAATGCTTTACAGCATCAAAATTGCAAAAATTAATACACATACAATATATACAATTTTTTGTTAAAAAATATTGTAAGGTAATTTTTGCAATTTTCATTTTGTTAATTGTGGGTAGGCTGTCTGTAACAACTATAACTTCAAGACATGTAACACCTCAGTCTCTCCCGTGACCATGGATGCTGTAAAGCATTCGAAACGTCGGGAACCAAAAATTGAAATAAATCTGCGAAATAATCCGAAAAGATAGTTTTATTTAAAAAGTCGCCATTATATAACATGAATTTTTACTATTACTCTCTGATTTGGCGTCCGATAAAGGTAAATCATTAAAGAAAAACTAATATAACTGCATATTTTCAGTTGTTAGTAGCATATTTCAATAGTTTTATTATAAAAAATATGTTTATTTACAAATAATACCTATGAGCTGTCAAATTTGACATATTTGAACTCTCATCAGTCATCAAAGACCAGTTAGACATTGAAATGTGTTATTATTATTATCTATAATATCGATGTTTTAATATAATATGTTGTAAAAGTAAGATTGTTTTTTGCTTTTTGTTAGACAGTAGACACAGTGGAGAATTTTTATTTATTTATTTATTAGCTTAATAATAAAAATAAAAAATCAAATACTCATGTTTTATACTATAAGGTAGACATTGGCTCACTATTACAAGGTTCTATGTTACAATTTTAGTACTTATTTAGAACTATTAATGCTACAAGGTTCTATGTGTCTATATTTATTTTACGCTAACCGTTAAAACGTACCTAGAATATTTTTTTTGATTTGTATTATGTTCCTCTAAATATTGTACTTTTCAAGTTTTCGCATTGTTCAACACATGAAGAACTGAAACTATAAGAGCTGTATTATTGAAATTCTCATTCTAAAATTATTATTTTAAAAACAAAAAGATAGGGGTAGTTATTATTTGAAGAAGATATGTGAGTGGTTTTTGAGATATGGTATATTTTTAGCTAGGGGCATTTGTTTCATACAAAAATTTGACTCTATTTGTCATAGATATACAATAAAGTTTTACTACTCATGAAAAGATTATTGTACATAAATAAATAATATGTTACTTTTTTCGTAATATATTGCATAATATATTAAAATACATAAATTAATTTTTTAATGCTACGAGACTGTACTCTCGCATAATTATTCGATTTTTAATCAAAATTTCATTTATTTTTTTTTTATAAAAATTGCGCTTTATTTAATGATTTTGAATCTAATTTGTCCAAAAAAATTACGTTATTTTATTGCACCTATTTGGATTTTTTAAATACTTACTTTTTAATTGTTGTAAATATAATTTGAATTGAGTGTTTTTTTATGTAATGAATAATGATTGTATCGGGGAAAAATGACGCGCGGGCTCGGTGTTCAACGGGTGTTGCATGTCACAAAACGTGGGGTTCTAGTGGTTAATTACAGTTTCATACAAACTTTCATCCCCCATTGTATCCCCTTATGGGACTGAATTTCGAAAAATACTAAAACACTTATTTAGTTTATTGTATTCTTTGCCCAAATATAAACTTCATTACCCCCTTTTGCCCCTTTATAGGATGAATTTTGAAAAAACCAAATAAATATATTTCTTATTTTTTTTCTTAAAGCTAAACACCACTTTTTGTGTATTTCATTAAGAATGAGAGTGTTTTATTCAATCTTTAATTCACTATTTTATTCACCTGTAGATTAAATTCGAAAAACCCTTTGTGTGTAATTGGATGCACCATATGAGGAATACATCCTCCAAATTTCACGTTTTTACGACCAGCGGCTTGGGCTGTGTGATTCATCAGTCAGTCAGGACCACCACAGGATGCACCTCTCTTCTTAATTGTTCCTTCAGCTGGTCTTACTTTCAGGTACAATACATTGCACAGGTAAGACGCCAACACAATAGAAGCAAAATATAACCAGGTACAAAAGAGATATCATAATCATCTCATATCATTGCTTAACCTCAGACTGAATGTAAATAGATCATGTATGTAGTGCCTCCTTTCAAGAAACCTTCCCCATTAGCGCTGCCCAATTTCTTTGTATGGGACGAGACATCCATGCTAGTGAGGATTATGTGTTCTGTGCTATAACTATTTGTATTTATGATCGTGATAAAAATCTGCACTAGTAATATTGTTTATATATATATAAGAACTTTTGGGAGTGGGTGTCATTTTAAAGTATTTAAATTCTATGTATGTAATCCTTTGACTCATGTATTGTAATTTTAAAGACTAATGTTGTTAGTATGTATATTGTTGAATTTGGATGAGAATTCTGCTATCTTTATACACTTGTTGTTATTAGAAGCCTGTGTGACATAACAATTAATTTAACAATTTATACTATGCTAATTATTCAGAGAAAAAATTGAAAAATATAGTGGTTATGACAAATAAGAAAGAAGAACATAAATAAAAACAAAGTATTGTCTATATTAATAATATATTCATTCATTCATTAGTTGTGTATAATTAAATATTTATTTCATTAAAAAACTCTGTATCTTTCTATTCCAAGAAGAATATGGAGATTCATACACCTTAACATGGCTCTCACTAATAACATTTTCAATAACAGTATCTATATTATCTCTAATATTCAATGAATTATAGAGTTCAAAACTTTTACCTGATCTTCTCATTCTCCTTTGAGCATTTTTGTAACATTTCCAGGGTTGTGGTTCTATGATAATTGTTCTTGAATTTTCTTTGATAAATTTTAAAACTTGTGCTAATCCCTGATCTCCATTGTTAATGTGTATCCACATTGTAACAGAAAAACAAAAAATTATATCCAATATATCTTTGTTATGAATTTTTATAAATTCTGTTATTAATTTATGTCCTTCATCTGTAGTGATATCACATGGAGTGAATAAGATATTACAGTCATTATTGTGTTCTTGAGCTCTTTTAATCAAGGTTGGGTCAATGTCAATAGCTAGCATTTTAATTTTTGCATTACTATATATTGTGGATAAATAAGTATATAATTGTTTTGTTAATTCTCCAGTATTACAACCTACATCTAGACATATTAATTCTTTATTTTCATTCATAGGAAACATTTTGACATCAAAATTTTGAACTCTTTCTTCGGGACTATGAAATGAATAATAGTTTATAAAATTACCAAATTTTGCCGCACCTGGGTCGTTTCCAGCATACGATAAATCTAAATCCTTCGTGGACATTTTATATTATCCTGCTACACTACGGGATTAATTATATTTCTACAAAATAAGAATGAAAATGCGCACAATGAATTCCCTTTAAAATTTAATAATTTAATAATATTTAAATATTAGAAATAATCCAGATTTTCAATTCAATTTTTATTTTGTGGCTTCGAGGGATGTCATTTGGAATTCAGATTTTTCATTTTACCCAGGGAATAGATAAGACGAATAATAAAATTTTACCGTTCACCTTAATCCATTCCTCTTCCATCAAATTAATAATTATTAATTAAACTAAGAAAGTAGAAACATAGACAGTACTTAAGCTAAGAAATACACTTTGGCAGTTGTGATTTGTAATGTCAGATTGACTTGTTTAAAGCACTGAGTACAGGCCACAGACCAGCACGGATGTTAGATAGTGGCCCAGTAAACCTGGTACAGATGTCGCTAAAAGCTGGTATTTGACAAATAAAAATTGGTACACACAATAACATTCATACTATAGATGTTTTGTAAATATTTAATGAATTAATTTAATTATTTGTTATAATAATTTGATGGGTAGATTATTTATGCCTATATAAATAAAAATGAATGACTAAATCTGTTGCTAAGCGCAAAACTCGAGAGCGGGAGCAATTCGGGTAGCTAATATATTTTTTTTAAATCACCACATTTTTATAGAATATAGATGCACTACGCAAGTTTATGTTTTATTTTAGTTAAAGTTACTTGATTTGTCGAAGATAAATATCTTTATGAATAGTATTTTTTTACAATAATCAATCTTGTAACCAAGACTTACTAACTTACTACTAACTAATATAGTCTTAAATAAAAGAAAAAAACATTTAGTGATCAATGTAGAATGTTGGTATTATTGCGTACCAGCACAATATTTACTTCGTATATGGTACAAGACCCTGAAAAATGGTACGCATATCAAGAAATTGGTATATCTAACATCCCTGCAGACAAGTGTTACCAGCTCAAAGTTTGTCTATGAAGTCTGAGTTAGATATGATTCCAGAAGTTGGTAGTTTGAGTTTCCTACCAATTCTAATTTGAAAAGTTGGTAGATCTACCCACCCATATTTTTTAAAGTTTTCTAGAGGCCTCACAATAATAATATGATACACATAATTAATGTTTCTATTGGATAACAAATATTTAACCTCTTTTTATAAGGAACCCCATGTGAAAGCAGAATCGTTCCTCAATTACCAATATAAAACTCGACAAAATATATATTGAAAAACGAATTGTGATAATAACAAATAATATATATAACCTGAGTTAATAGTTTTTAATTATAAATATTTAATTCCTTTATTCATATAAATATACTTACTGGAACCTGAAGACAATATATAGCAGTGATAATTGAGAATTCAAAAGAATCAATTAATGTACGATCTTCAATAAAATAATTTTAAGACCATTTTTTTTAATTTTCTATAATAAAAGTAGTTTTAATTGCGAAATATATCATGGACTACTTATTTCAAGATTTTGAATGTTTTTAGAGTTAAAATAAGTATATCAATATAAAAATAATATGACTTTTTTACTATTTTATTCTTTGAAAGCATACATTCTTTGGAGTTGACAATATTGAAGGTATTAATGTCATTTTTGCGGACACAGAGCCAAATTTTTTTAAATATTTTAAAAGTTGGTAGATTTTCTTTGCAAGGTGGTAGGTTTTATTTGTCATCCATGATGGTTACATTCTCTTTGCGTTTTGAAGTCAGTAACAAAAAAAAATGAATTGAATTGAGCTAAAATAAACGGTAGCTAAAATATGCGATTTTAATTAAAAGTAGATTTTAATTCATAATTTTTTTCTTTATAAATAAAAAATCTTAAGATTATAAAATAGCAATCTAAATTAAATAATTTCAATTGATTATTTTTAGTTGATATTTTTTTTTAGTTTTGTATAATATAAAACTAAGAAAGGGAATAAAGGGTGCCTGTAGCCGGATAAGTATAGCGAATCACTTCATAAATTTCACTGCCGTACTCCGATATGACCTTGAGATATGAAGAAAAATCAATGTAACTATGAGTTTCGTTCAAAATGGTATATCTCGGAAGCCTTAAAAGCTAACTTTAAAACTAAAACGAGGTTTTAAGTATTTAGTATTGTATATAGTTTAGTATATAGCATTCAGTAGCATATTACATATTTTATTTAGATTTTTGGGATTATTAAAAACCCTTTTTAAAAAAAATATAAATAAAATAATTGTTATTTCAGTGTTCCTTGAGAATCTATCACTGTTAAAAATATATGTTATAATATTTGGTATAAACTAATACTCATAAAAATTCGTTTGAAAAAATTGGTGAAACATTACGAAAAAAAAAAACTAGACACACTAAATATATTATTATATAACAAAGAATGATGTTCTCCCGACCGATTCCGGCCACGGCGGCCAATCTCATTGAGACTAGCCAACTGCGCAGGAGATATTATAGTGCACAAGTGTACGCGCAGACACAAGTGCACTCTCTATTCCTGTCACTCTCATATTCCGGTGGGACGACTGCTCGACACGACCAGTGAGAGTTAAGGCGCAGGACCGACGGCTTTACGTGCTCTCCGAGGCACGGGGGTGAAACACCGCCAACTTCCCAACTCCGGGCTGTTACTGAGGCTTACTTATACAGAAAGACTCAATAACTAAACTTGGCCCGACCCGGGACTCGAACCCAGGACCTCCGAATGTGCAGCCGTACATGCTAGCCACTACACCACGGAGGCAGTTAACAAAGAATAAGAACGTAACAAAGACGCATATTAAGATTATATTAATTATTAACACTTTGTTAATTATTGTTGATTCTAAATTAGTTGATTTTAATTCTAAACATTTTTTTTTCAATAAGTATTATAATAACTGTATTACTATTAGTCCAATCGGAATCCAGCTTGGGAACAAAATATTGAAAACATGAAGTTTTATGATTTTCATATGCTAGTAGGTATATAAGGAATAGAAATTCATAAAATGTCCCACATGCCTACCTACCCCCGAGAAATGGGGGGACGCAAAGCGTTGAAAAATAGTTTTTTTTTCAATTTCCGGCTTACTGTGACGTTCTATTGAAAAATCTTTTCTACAAATGTTGTAGATCTAGTAAAAATCTACAACTTTTATAAATAACACTTTTTACAATAACCTCAAAGTTTTCGAGATATTTGCAAAAAACTCGGTTTTTCACTTTTTCTTGGTTTTTTATTTTTAATTTCTAGAATAATCTTTTGATTTCCATGAAGCTAAGGGAATGTAATCTTCGAAATACATATAATAAATTAAAAAAAAAAATAAAATTGAAATGTTTAGCCATTTCCGAGAAAAGTATGTTTTATGGTCTCGAGAGGGTGAATATCACCCCCAAGTTCAAGTGGGCGTTTATATTTAAAAAAAAGTCGTTCAATTTTCAGATAGGGCTCATTCTTTTCGTCTTGAACTCTACTTTTTACCGCGGGAAATTATCTCTTTCCCACGGGAAAAGACGTTATAATACAACCCAAGGCCCTTGGGGCGGGCCTGGACCTAGGCTTTTACGATTTTCCTTACGACATGTCCTTGCATGGTAGTTTAGGTGTAGGCCTACCCTACCATCTCCTTCAGAGACGGTAGGGAGGCATAGGTCTTGGGAGTAGTGCAGGTCACGAAGATCCCCAAGGCAAGTTCGGTGGACTAGCCTCTCGAGGTTGCCGGCCCTGTTTTAGGTCTATTTCCCTCTGAAATAGACGTAACTGAAACCACCGAACGGCGAGTTATGACCCATATAAATAGTATGTATGTACTCTATGTAAATTATTGAGATTTAGTCTATTATACATTTGCCCCTCCCTCATTATCATATGTATAGTATGAAATATCGAGGCTAGTAGGTGGGCCGCGATTATTATTGTATTTATAAATAATAAAATATATGTAAGTCTATAATGATTACTATTATCAAAAAAATATTTATTAATTGAGATTAGGTACTCATATTATCTATTATCATTTTTATTTTTGGGTTATAAGTACAACAAATATGAGAAAGTATTGTGACCACGTAACGAAAATCTATTGTTTTTTGATTACTTGACATATCCGACTTGTCATATGGTAGCTGAGAAGACCTTAGAATTTTTGTTACAACTTTTACATCATGGACACACTATATTAATGATAATAGCCAATGTGGATTGCCATATCATCAAATATTGACGATTAAAGATCAATCCACACTCCGATCTCGGTTCGTTCTAGGTCCGATATCTGTCTAGCAAAGTATTTTTATACACACGAGCATCTAATATGCATCGTCTTTATCTAAAAGTTTTCCAAAATTTTCATTCAAATTAGTTTCATGCTGCAGATTTTTTCGGTATCTCATTTTCTTCCCTTGGACTTTTAAATATGCGAGGAATTGTACCTAACTTGGGTAGGTTTTAAGTTTAACTCTATCCTCTCTCATTTTATATGTAATATGTTCTCCATATCATTTTCAATCCTAAAAGCTACATTTCCATGCGTGCAAAATTTTTTCTATTTGATATTTGACCAACTTCATCTACGGTCCACCACACGTCTTTTTTAAGGTTATTGATTGATTAGCCGCGTATAAAGAATAAAATAGAGAAGCCGTTTCACTAATGTTAATAATGTGAGATGTTTTACTAATGATAATAATGTTAATGATTTAAAACCCTAAGAAAAACTGGTCAGCTGAAAGGTACTTTGAAGCAAGTGATTAACAAAACAAGTAACAGATTTAAATGTTATGTGCAGACTAAGATTTATAATGAGAAAATTTTTATAATCATACTTGGCCCGGTTGTAGATCCTGAGGCTTAGTTAAAGGACATCAGGATCAGCCAATAGCCACTAAACTAATGAGGCAGTCTAAAGATTACTATAGCGACGTAACTAGACTTACTTTATACAAAAGGGTTTATAATTAGAATTGTTTAAGACGTATTTGTACCGACTCAGGAAATCTAATACAACTGCTGGTACATTTCTATTTATTTAGATCGTGACAATCATATCTTCTTGTGGAAATCAAACAAAAACCTTGATGTATAAGTAGATTTGTTGACCAATCAACTGGAAAACTATTCTACTTGGTTGAATTTGTTTGAATATGTATTTATGTAATCCTAAATATTCTTTTTTAAATGATATTAATTAAATAACGTAGTAAACATTACATCTATTACTTCCTCACTAAAATATATTATAATTATATTTTCACCTACTGAAATATCCTGACTCATAAACTAAAGTATTAAATACTTACTAGTAGTAACTAATAATGTTTTATTTTATTAAAAAAATCTTTATTGGAACAAACGGATAAGTTACATTATAGATTGTACGATAATTAACATCATATAAATACTATTTCTACGTAAAAAATCAAATAGATTCATCGCTTTGTTATTTTGGAAAAGAATGACAAAATGGTAAACAAAAAATATACAGACGTTCTTTTTTATTTGTAATATTAGTAAGGATACCGAAAGTAACATGTTTCACACATAGTGGTTGACAAAAATTAGGGCTAACCTAATCATATAAAAAGTAGCCCGACTAGAGTAAATCTATTTAATATTTTCGCATAATGTCTATCATTTCATAAATCATTTCGTATTAATTTAGAATTTAATTTTTTTAATAAGTTGTTATTTTGTTGTCATATAGTCTGACTATAAAATAATTATTAGAAAAAGAACATAAATAATAATTATTATCAGAATATAACATTTCGTTTGATACGGTTCGATACAACTTTTACTTTCTTTTAATCGTAGATATCCGCAGTTCCTTAAGTTGTATCCTCATATATAACACACATTCTTGAGGTGTGCAAATTAATTGTGCGCAAATCTACCTTGCACTCTTTATAGGTGTCATTAGAGACAAAATTACTATAGTTACATACGCTGCAACATCTACTAATGGGCTGAAACCGGTCGTCCGTGAGTGAAACGTGGGACTTAAAACGTCTTAATGAAGCACGCAAAGTCGACTACAATTATAGTTTTTCATACACACACATAAATCTGATATACACATAAAATTAATAACATACGTACTTCTCGCTTTTTTTGTACATTTTATCGGAGAAATTGGCTTGGAAAATTGTTCTCCATCATTTCAAGTTCAGTTACGTAAGTCAGCGTGCAAGAGAATTGGTGCGGAATGGCGGATGTTTGGTGGTGCAAGTCGGTGAAGCGACTCGCCGTTATAAGCTCGCATCGTTTCCCTCGACCATCAGTTGTCGCTAGGCCACCCTCATAAACGTTAATTTTATCTTTTTAAGTATAGTGTAATTAAATTGATAGAAAAAAAATGTGTGCTTCATTTCGGATAGCGGTACTAATTATCTGTATAGCTGTGGTCTCCGGACATGTTCGCGGACCAAGAAGGTCACGTCGGATGGATGCTGAAGACTATGCGCAGAATGAAATTGAAAGCAGTAGAGCAGATGAGAGTTCTTGGTGGCCATCAGCGGAATTCTCCATTTTACAAAAACTTTACGACGATTGTAGTGCGCAGAAACATTTAACAATGTGTCTAAAAGGCAAAGCTCTCGTTGCTTTAACAAGAGCAGTGGAACAGGTGAATTAGTGCTTTCAGTGATAATCTTATCGTGTAAAGTGAATTTCATGTGTTTTAATTTTTTCATTGTGTTACACAGGAAAGTGTACAGCTCGCTGATGGGCTTACATTGGTTAAACAAGCTGATACGCCAAATTCTGTAGCAGAGCCTCGCTTCCTCCCGGGAATGTCGATGGAGGACAAACTTGATACTATGCTACGTACTCGATTCGAGCAATTATTAGACACGCACACTATTTCGATGGATTTAGCCTCAGAAGGTAGAGGTAGAGGTAAGTTCTATATCACATGAAACTTTGGTGTACATGTAGTCTCATATAGTATTTATATTATGAGTTATATATATTTTTAGGTAAGAAGGTACTACCCTACTTGCTACTTGGGATTTTTACAACCGTCAGTATCGTGGGAGGTATTGCCTTAAAGACATTAGCTGCCATAGCTGGTAAAGCGCTCATTGCTAGCAAGGTAGCGCTAACAATTGCTGGAATCATCGCCCTTAAGAAACTATTCAGCCATGATGGCGCGGCTGGTGAAACTACGTTCCAAGTTCACGCAGATGGCCACCATAGGTAAATTAGTAGCAAAGGATATATTTATCTTAATGTAAATAATAAATATAATTAATATATGAAACAATAAAGTATTAATTATGCCTCTAATTTACGACAATCCAAATAATTTTGAAGTCAATGACCTGCTAATTTAGGAAAAAATATTTCATGAATTTTCCTGAAATCATTAAAACTATTAATCATTTACCTTAGAGCATTTTATTTTGGAATCTTAATAAAATAAAGTATATTTTAATTTTAATGTTTAATAACAATGTTTATCATATTACATTTTAGTTAATTAATTGGATAAAAATATATACAAAAGTGAATTCTCAAAATAAAATTGTTTAGACTTTCGTTAATTCAATATTTTTTAATTCTAGTCTTTAATTCGAAGGCGGAACTTATATGTGGTGAGGCCAGCGAGGTCGGGCACCGTGGATCCTTACCGCTACTACGCGGACCAGTTGCAAGCAAGCGAGAGTGCGTAGCCGCCTGGTAGCTGCACGACCTCGGTCCTCCCACCTAGCTACGACCCTGCGCTAAGAACATACAAAGTGACCTCAAACCAAAGTACCGTCCACCTAATGGAAACCATAAAAACCCGATGTCCATCTTCATACTCGTATCTAATATCTATGTCAGTTAATAATAATTTATTGTAATTTATTTATTCGTGACTACGGTTTTAGGTATATTTAATGTAAAATAAATTATTTTAGGAAAAAAATAAAAATAATAACAAACTATGTAATTTTATTTCTTTTAAACAATAGTTCACAATCAAACTCCTTGAAAACGTTCGTGTTGAGTTTTACACGATAAATAATAATAGTATCAGATCAGAATTAAAATATAGTTTTATTTAAAATAACAGATATTCTCTTTTAAAATGTGGAAGACTATTCTCAAGTTTCCTTTACTAAAATCAAATATTTAAGATATAATATTAATAAGATTCAATTAAGTATACAGATCCGCTTTCATTACATGCTCTAATGAGCAGAGGAGTCTAGAAATGTGTCGAGATTTTCCACTTATGTGAGTGCAGCGGGTATGAATGTGGAAAGTAGAAAGTTTTTACCGATTCACTGAACATGCATCCATAGATACAGTTACTACACCCACGCGCTCCTGATCTCCTTTCCACTTTGATATTAGAATTAATTTTTGTTCAATCGCTTTGTGCTACAATCGGGTAATATCCGTATAGCCTCAATTATTTACTTCAGTTGTCACACTGCTCACATCAACTAACAGATAACTAGTTATCTCTATTGAGGAGGGCAGTGATAATGCAGCTCAGTGTGGTATAGAGTTTGTTCGGCTGCGGAAGGTCAGCTCGTTGATTAGTCGGGTCCGGGTAAAGGCCGACCACATTGCGCGTTTGTGCTCCCGAACGGTGTTTATAATGCAGATATGTGTTTGCCCAATCGCTGCACGCTACGTTGGCTATATGGCATAGTTAATGTGGCTCGAATCTCTTTGCATACGCAAATATAGGGCGGGCGGTCCAACTCTGATTAAGCGGTACCATGGCGGTGATGTTGGCTTCATTTCTGTTTTAGAAGCGACATTACGCTTGATTAGTTTTCCGCATTTTAGAGTAATTTTTGATTCATTCGTACAACGGTCTGATTTGTTGTAATTTTTCATTTTGTACATATAAAATAATAAAGAATCTGATTTTGTAATTCAATAATTATATTCAAAAATTAAAAAAAAAAATTCTCAACAAATCTTATGCGTACATCTCACAAAATTTATACAATATAGATAGGGCATACTTTGAGTTGAAACGGATTTTAATTATTTTATTTAATTGCACCAAACAGATATATATACTATTCTAGATGAGAAATCTCAGTGGACCTTACAGGAAATTGCCAGTGACTAGTGCATTAGCCGATATCATCTACTTATCCTGCTTAGTTGTCCATCAATAGCCACCTTCAATACTTAATGGCCTTTGTCTCAAATTAGACTATCACACATCACTATATACAGGATGGGAGATAGAGCTAAGAATTTAAGCCAACTAAAATTATTACTTTATATAACAGAAATTATTATTTTTTCAAAAATCCTAATTAATTTGTTAGATATGTGGTTAAAATCAAGTGTTTTTATCTAACAAATGATTTTATCATTCAACTTTTAAATGAATCCTTTTTTTTTGGAAAAATAACGCACTTGTGCTGTGTTATTGCTCTTAACAATAGTGTTGATAAGGATCAAATTCAGTTCCGTACCAGATATAGGCAGCGTAAAATTGGAGACTTTGCCTTTCCAAGATGACATTAATTGATAAAATATGACATTTCGTCTGCCGACCACTGCACTTGACCAGCATTGTGGTTACGACTTGATCCCTCTCGAATTGGGAGGCCCATGCCCAGCAACATTGGACATGAAAAGGGCTGAATAAATATGACTTTTTAATCTCAAGACGGCGTGATATCGTCATATGGTATATTTATGATATAAAAAGCATCCATAAAAAAGTTTATTCAATGCAATCAGCAGATTCTCTACATGTATATCAATCATACTCGTAACTTATATTGTTTTCTACTTCAATATTGAATCAATCTGTATATTATATAGAACACGTAATTGGTAAATGGCCATTCCAGAGCAGAAACTATTTTAAGATAAAAATTTATAAGAATCAAAATACATTATGAAATGTATATTTTTTTATTAAGATATTAATTTATAGGTGTTATTTGTTCTAAATATCATAAATTAAATAGGTTTTAGAAAGAGTAGTCAAAAAATCTTGTATATTTTTCTTGTACATGTATGGACATAACATATGAGACTGCGGGCGTCAGTCGTAGAGCGAAGTTACTTTACGGGCGAATGGTCAAAGTATCCGACATAAACCTATTTTGTTCTCTTCTTATATTGGATGTACGCTCCCTTCTTCAGCCGCCGCGCTGCCGACCGTTGTCCTTTGAACTAGGGCTGCCTGAAAAGATTTTATGCGTATATTTTATCAATGCTCCTTTCATTTTCAAAAAAATAATGGCACAATAGAAAGTTTTAAAGTGGCTCACATAGTAGACAAAGAAAAATATAATGTTAAGTTATCAATAGCATCTGTACTTTATAATAATATTGAATTAATAATCGACTGTTGAAGCTAGTCGCTTTCCATTTAACACTTTGTTCTAGATCAGATATGAAATGCGTAAGTTGTAATTCTAATGCTTTAAAGTACATATTATGCTCTACTGAACATTTATTATTATCATAAATCACAGTATATCTATATTTTTGTACCAATGTATCTAATATACCTATGTATTTATTAATGCATTTGCTATCTATATTGATTTTGATATTAATTCTTTTTATACATAAGATAATCAAAATAATAAAAAAAATTGCATAATTTTTTCGTTTCGAGCTTACCTTAAATTAACCAAACTAGTTTTGGTAGAGGTAAGGAGGTAAAGTGGTAGAGGGCTTGTTAAGGACTTTTCTTAAAAGTTAAACCTATGACACCTATAATAGGTTTAAAATTATAAGATATCGAAACTTCTTGATATGTATTCAGCCCTTTTTTTCTTAACGTCCCACTGCTGGGCCCGGGCCTCCTTTCAATACGAGGGGGATCAGGCCATAGTCCACCACGCTGGCCAAGTGCGGGTTGGTGGACTTCACATGTCTTTCGAAAACTTGCTAGGATCTCTCAGACATGCAGGTTTCCTCACGATGTTTTCCTTCACCGTAAGGCAAGTGGTAATCATGTTAGAAATGATTCGCACATGAAATTATCAGAGGTGCGAGAACCGGGATTTGAACCCGCTTGACTCGGTTTCCCAAGCGAGCGCGTTATCACTGGGCTACCACTGCCTTAAACTTCTTTCTATACTTCTTGATATAGGTATTTAAAATAAGAAAACGAGAAATAAATCCGCATAAATATTTTTGCGGAGCAGAAAATTTTAAATTTATGTCTTGTACATTTGCTAATATATAGAATTTGCTTAAAATATTTTTGGTTAAAAAAATTCTGAACGTAACAGATATATATGAAATTTTTTATGAGTTTTAAAAGTTATGCACTATACAGATAAGCCTACTATAACAATAACAATATTAAAAATGCATCCTTTTCCATTGTTGTATTGCATCAGAAACCTTTGATTTTCAACTCAAAAGCTGATTTCTCTGGGGAGTTAAAAATATCTGTTTTTAAATAATAACATGCTTATCATATTTTGCTTAATTAAATAATGTGTTGTATGTTCAGCCCTGAGTTTGGGCGGACTGTGAGGAAGTTTTGTTGGGAATTATGTTGGTACGTGCCAAAGCCATTATTGCTGCGAGAAAAGTTCATCAATTTCATTTCTATCTCTGTACACGTCCAAAGCTCTCGCTTCGTGCTCCATATTACATACATAAGACTGCATCATACCTATTGGGTACATATCTGTAATATAGAATTATATTAACATACAAAATAAGATTTATTTATTAAGTACATTCTTACATTTTTTAAATTTATCGACGCCTGGCATATAGTTTTAAAGGTTGAAATGATGACATTTTACGGTACCTTTTATTATATTAAGTTTAATATAAACAAATTATAAGCTCACACTTTTATTTTGTTTTAGGTCTAGAATTTACGTATTACCTTTTTATTTTATTTTAGGTCTAGAATTTACGACGAATTCGTCTCCTTTATTTACATGCAACCATTTAGTATTATATCGATTTTTTCAATTTAGTTATCTTATTCAGTGATGTATAGATACATATAAAAATATATTAAAAAATGGACTTGCTATTCACCCTCGGTTCGCTTGGATACGTCCATAGGTGACTATGCCGTATTTTATTGCTTTATTTCAGTATTTTAGTTTAGAAAGGCAAGTTGATAAAGCAATTCGACAGCCATTTCTTCTTAGACTTTAACTAAAGTGAGTATGAATTTTTGGTAAATATTTTATTAGAAAAAATAGCCTTTAATACCCGGTGGCAATGCATATAATGCAATACAAAAGTAAAGGGTTTTGAGAAGAGAATGGGATCAGTAATTTCAGATTACCCTCGTCATCCAACCCTACAAACTATAATATAGATATAGCAATAATGCTCTTCGAAATTATATATATATATATATATATATATATATATATATATATATATATATATGATGTTCTCCTAGCCGATTCCGGCCACGGCGGCCAATCTCAATGAGATTAGCCAACTGCGCAGGAGATATTATAGTGCTCAAGTGTACGCGCAGACACAAGTGCACTCTCTATTCCTATCACTCTCATACTCCGGTGGGACGACCACTCGACACGACCGGTGAGAGTTAAGGCGCAGGACCGACGGCTTTACGTGCTCTCCGAGGCACGGGGGTGAAACACCGCCAACTTCCCAACTCCGGGCTGTTACTGAGACTTACCATACAGAAAGACTCAATAACTAAACTTGGCCCGACCCGGGACTCGAACCCAGGACCTCCGGTGTGCAGCCGTACATGCTAGCCACTACACCACCGAGGCAGTTAAATATATATATATATATATATATATATATATATATATATATATATAATATAACATAGATAAAATAAAATTAGGAAACAACTAATACAAACTGCCAACAAAGGAAATCGCGTCAAGTAAAAAAGTCTATATATCAGTTACATCGTAGTTTGTACGAAAGATTTTCTTACACGTAAAAGAAAGTAGTGAAAGTAAGTAGACACTCACACGCTTGCCTGTGGAAATAGAATTATTGCACAGTGCAGTTCGAATTGAATAATAAGCAATCGACTTTCTAATTTTCACTCAAACAAAGAATTTAGAATGCTTGTAAAAATTCAATTCTCATACAATATCTGAAATGAGAAATAAGATTAAATAAAATGTATATAATAATAACTTTTTGCTAATAAGTTATTTTTCTTAACGGTTTTTCTGTTAAAGTAAATGTTTTTTATTTTTAAAAATAGCAAAGTAAATGTCAAAGCTAGGGATAATAGCATAATTATACAATTTGTGCTGATTTTCAGTGGACATTACTGCGGTTTGTGTACCAAAATTAGGATACAGGTAAAACGTAGACCAACTAGTTGATTGCTAGATTAGATAATGAGACTTTGTTTTCGTGGTCTATATTTCGTACAATTTGGGTTGAGCTGATTTAAATTAATAAATTAAATATAAATAATCATAATTTCCTATATTAAATGTATTGCATGTATAATAGGTAAATGATTTAACTCGTAACTTTATAGTAAGAGAGTGAGATATTCTTTTTTTTATTCTTGAGCATATTTCGTAATTAGGTATTATGGACTGGTTGTGCCTATAAAATAACATATGAGTACTGTTGGTTTGAGAATTAATATATTACTAACATAAGTAGATTAATTCTAACAGTGACGTCTAGTTATCTCTGTTTTTTTATAAATATGTTGGGACAATAACACACAACACCATCTAGTTCCATAGTAAGCTACGAGACTTGTGTTATGGAAACCAGATAGTCGATACACTACACATATATAACTTTTTAAATATATACATATATAAATATAAGCACCCATGACTGGAGTACAAACTTTTGTGCTCATCACACAAATGAATGCCCCCAGCGGGACTCGAACCAGCGACCGCTGGCACAGCAAGTAGAGTAACTACAAACTGAGCCAAACGTGTCTGTATAAGCGAATCGCAATTTTCTTCAAGTGCTACCACTTTGCTGGCATATTAGTAAAACATGTGTTTATAACATGAAGTTACTTTAAATGTAATTATAACAAACTAATCTTTTATTTTATTTTTTAAAGTTTTTTTTGTTAAGATATAAAATATGAGAAACTTTTTCTTAGATGTATGACTACTGTTCATACACTAAATAAGTAATATAAAGGGATAATAATAATATCTTGTTACACTTAAAAATATGGAAAGTTAGACAAAATTTATCATTTATGTACTGCTAGCTGTGAACACTTGAGTTCGTATGCGCGAACTTCATAATTACTATTAAAAAGTCTTCGTAAAACCGATTTAATTTTTTTTAAATTAAAATGTGGAGCGAGTCTCTCTAAGTACCTACTAAATTCTCAACACTTATATTACACAAACTTTCATCTGACTAAATTTTATGATCCTGGCTTTAGTCGTGTTGAGATTTCGTCATTAATCAATCAGTAAGTGAGTGAAACTCTATTAAGTACTTATATATAGGTATTTCTTCTGCAGGGTCACTAAAAGTAACTATTTGTTATGTTTAAGATATTATATAATCTCAATGAGATGAATCTCATTAAGTACTATAGAATATTTCGGATTACCGTGGGGAGCTTCAATTAGCTGTGGCTAGGGTGTTCAGGTGGCCGTCGTCGGTCGCGACTGTGCCCCGAAGACCTCCCTGGGAGGCTAACTAACAGACCTTGACTGATGTATGGGTGACTTCATTACCTTATCACTCGGCGATAACGTTCAAGATAGCGTATCACGGTTGTAATGCAAAGTTTGCTGACCACCACCCTCTGGACGTTAGTACGGCAGTCATTATGTGTCATTAGTTTTGCGACACTGACCAAATGACTGGTCTGTTATATCGAATGACTCATTCCGTTCGTGATTAGGCTCTGTGATTTTCTAAATGCACAAAAGTAATTTTAAGCCAAATCGAGCTGTAATTTATGCAGGATATTCGTGTTTACGCGAAATCAAAGCAAGAGTTTGTGAGATTTATACTAATCAATACATTGTAAATTACTATAATTATACTTAATTATTTATTATTTTGCTTATTTTTCCTTCACTTGTGTTAGGTGTTCTCATAAAATTGCTTTAGCTTTTTAAAATGAATCCATTCTAAGGTGGGCATCTAATGGAGGCAAACTAATTTACGGCGCCGTCTTGTGTGCAGAGCGAGCTATCTCCCGCCCTAATTATCTCATATATTACCCTTAGCAACATAAGTGACATGTTATTGGAAATTTGCCATAACGTGCTCGCCTTTGTAACTAAAGTAAATGTAAGTTGAATAATAATCGAAAAAAAAAGTTTAACGATGTTAAATATTAGATAATGTTAGTTCATTAAATTTTTAATAAACCATACTAGATTATATTTAAACAAGAGGTAGAAAACAAAAATATATAATAAGTTGGATAAGCCAAATAGCTATATGTTTTTGTCGTTGTAGGTAAAGCTATTCGTAACTATAATATATAGGCCAAATGATACGATAAAAAAATAAAAAATAAAATATATTTAAACACAATATCACATGAAATTATGTTTGTAGCCAGTTTAAGGTGATCGGTGTATAATGTAAAGTGTGTCTGAAGGAAAACATTTAATTCCCGGTGGAATATAATCGTCCGTTTGTAATTTATATTGTCTGTTGCAGAGGCGAGTCCCACTGCACATTCATTTATTTTATATGCCATTTACAATTGTCGGTCGATGGTCAAGGGAGCGGTGAGGGATGAGGTAGGGAGGCTGGACGACGTTGCCTTCGTTCGCATTATAAAACCGTGCGGTCATCTGCGAAGCCCGTAATTGTGTTCGTAATAGAAGCCGCTCGGATGAATTGTAAACGCCCGACACATGGTTCTCGTATCTGTATTTTATCACTTTCTCAGAAGTATGAACAATTTCGCTTGTGAAAATGATCAAATCACTTACTTCTTATTGTACGTTTGTCTTTATTTTATCTTATTGATAATACATCTTGATTTATAAATAATAATAGTATTAGTTAAAACTATAAATACAATATTTTTTTTAAACTTTTAATATTATCAGGTATAACAGAGTTGAGACGTTTAAGATTTTGGTTAGTAAACAATTTCCCTTCAGCCACATATAGTAATATTTAAACATTAATCCTTAAATTATGAAACGACGAGCTTAGATACAAGCGATCGCCGCCCATTTCTCCCTTTAGAGCTCATCTTCTTTATATAAGGCTCTCTTATGCAGTATTATATGCTTCTAGAACCAGGAGTTTAAGCTTTTCGTTATTTATCGATCAGTTATTCTTAGAGAGTTATTAAATAGATATCTCACTTAACAGTAGGTACGTCTAAAAGCCGCAAAACAAAGAATCGAACTGATTTTTCTTAAAATTTGAGCTGACTGTGTCTCAGCCTTTAGCGTTCACTAAAGGCGAACGTTATTGTATCCGTTAATAAAATATTTTCAACCCTTTCTAACGCTCTACTGCTTGGCAAGGTTTGCCTCTTAGTAGCCATAATCCACCACGCTAGACAAGTGCGAGTTGATGGCCTTCACATGTCTGTTGAAACTAAGATATATTTATATGTTTTCTATGTCAAAAATCACTTTATAATTATAATTATTTTCAATTTTGAGAATGGTTTCAGGGTTTGAATTTCATCACTTGAATTTCATCACTGTTTTTGCGAGCGAGCACGTTACCACTGGGCTACCACTTGCTTTTTGAATATAATAATATGTATGTGCATGTATGTATGTATGTTTGTACGACATTATTTTTAGTTTGAGGGCAGAATTATAACCTTTTAAACTACAAGTATCTACAAGCTGAATGACTGCGACATACTTGTACACCTAAACCTTACTTATAAACAAAAATTATATATGTATTTCACATAAAAATTAAGAATTAAAGTTGTGACCGAATCTTAAAACATATTAATTTCTGAGAGGAGAGTTTTAATACTAAACCATATGAGATTCATTAGTTATATATAGTTAAACATTTATTAGCAAATTAATTACACACTGTCACTCTTCGTTAAATTAACTACCTAATATCTAGGTATCTATCTACATACTAAAAATTGACGTTATTTTTATGTTTGCTTATTTTCATTTAACAAACTTTAGTTGGAAAGTGTATATTGAATACTATATTATTAATAACTATATATTATTCCTAATATCATTTTAAATAAGTAAACAAATGTTATAAATCATCTTTTATTATTATTAATCTTTACTATTCTTAATAAAACTCATTTCTTAAACATAAGATAGTTTCTTATTATAAGAAGATAAAAATCAATAGCCATTTCTTTAGTCGCTGCACTTTTCGCATGAAAGTCGAACGAGCGGCAGCCAAGAGGCTGAGTGCCTCTGTATTCTTTTGTTTTTTAATTATAACGCTGTGAGGGTGGGGCGGCTCCCTGTCAAGTTCAGTGGAGGTGCTTTCTTGTTAAGCGCGACGGGCACTCGCCTCCTACGTGGCCCGGCCATTTATTTCGTAGAACTTATAACCTGACCCGCGTACTTATGAGCGTCGCCAATAAATATAGCAATGACCGGAGGCTAGCGCGGCGGTCCCTGTCGGATGGTCGAGTGGTGTGGCAGCGGGAGCGGGACGGAGCGGCTAGGTGGCCGCGGCGAGGCATTGTTAGCTAAATATCTAGGTGGTCAGTTGGGCGGGCGGGGGTCGGGCGGCCGAAGACGGGCGGCTGGGCGCGTCGGGTGGGGCGGCGGACGTGCCGGGCCCGGCGCCGGCCGATGTATTGAGCGCGTATTGCAGACGCGGTCACGCGCTGCAATATTGCGTTCGCTCTGCGATATTGCCCCTCAGTAACTCAATTTGATAAATTGTGCAAAGTTCGCCGGCTCTGTATTGCATGAGCTCGATCGACACGTCGCTACATCTAGATGTAATGAAATTTACTTGTATTCATTTACACTTCAGCAGCTCCACGTTTTGTGTCCCAGGAAGATCTAAAGCCAAGCGTTAAGATATTTTTAATTCTACAAGGAGAAAATTATTTCTTATGTATTTTATCTTTCTTTTACACTGTTGTTTATATTTAATATGCGCAAATATGTGTGTATAACAGTTATTTATAACCATTTTTACATAGTAAAAAATACAAACACATTCTTATGAAGTCTTAGGTATGTTATATTCAAACCACGAAACATTCCAAGTGTAACAACGTATCGTTGAATAACACGAATGATATTTCATATCACTAGTATAAATGTTTATAATTTTTTTTTAAAGTAATTTAACCGTCAAAATATACGCTATATTTTTTAGTTTTATTATAAATGATTTTAATTAGATCTAAAGTACCTTTATAACTAGGAGATCTTTGTGTGTTTATCTTATCAATTTTTTTATAAATTAATCAACTGTATACTTAAAAAATTGCTATTCATTGCCTTCTTGTTATTAATTTTTACGTAATTAAAAATATATTTTTAAGTATAACGATTATCAATATTAAGTTTAAAATCCTTAGACTAAATAAAAAAAGTAACTTTAATTTGGAACAAACTTTTGAAACTGAAAAAATAAAGCTTGCTTCCGAGAATGGAGAGTATTCGTGTATTAATAGAGCAGGACAAAGTATAAAGAGGTACTGAAAATAAAGGCTGCCTCACATTGACAACGTTTAAATAAAAATAAAGGTTTTTTCTATATATTATAATAAAAAAACATTTTGACTTACCTTTGATTATAGTCAAAGGTAAGAGGCCAAAGGTAACACAACAATTAATGTTGAAATATTTTGTTGTCAAAAAGGTTTTTTTATTTTACATTCGTCATAACATCGTGAATTAATAGTTATAAACTACACTCATAAATATCGTAGATACTAAGTCTAATTATAATTATGTGTAGATATTACTTTTGATTGTTAAATTTAGACAAAAATAATGTATTTGCCTTATTTTTGTCTGTACATACAGTACAGTAAATGATGAGTTTTAAAATTGGTATCAGTGTTTGAAGGTTATCTAAGCTTTTTTACAGGTATTTTTGAAAAAATTGGAAAGACCTAATTAAAATGAAAAATTTATGATACAAAATCAGATAGCAAGTGAGTATCATATAACATTTATCACAAAGTAAATATTGATGTAAATTCCTAACATTTTAAATATGTTTGACGTTTAAAAATAAAACGCGCTTAGTGTGGATGGGGGCGACTGCGTTTTCAGGGATGGCGTGTGGCCGCGGCTTCAGGATTGAGAAAATGATTTATATTGTTTGTGTAGTGGCGGTGGGAGAGACGGGTGGTGGCCTGTCGCTTTCTCAAGCAGATCCAGTCCACTGCAGATATGGGCGAGTATTATTATTGATCCAGCCGGGCGGTTGGCGGTCGGCATTTCCTACCGCTCATACTCGGGCGGGCGGGGGCGCGGGCCCACTCCCGACATATTTATTGAGGCGCGCGGGAAGGGAACGATGCGGGAACGTATGGACGTACAACTTATTATATCGCAGGCCACCTCGCGGTGCACTAACCTTTAATGAGACGGGGCGCGGGTCGAGGAGCGCGCCTTCGCTCTCGCCCAACCCCGGCTCGTTATGATATTATATCAACTTATAACGGCCAATAGCAGCCCGTTATGATATTGTAGGCGGGTAATAGCGAATGCAGGCTTCAGTTTTTCACCGTGGGCGGGCGGGCTTATAATATTTTGTGAAGATTATAATGGGGTGCGAAAATTGTTTGAGTTATCTTATCCAATCATAAGCTTATTCGAAAACGATATTTATGTTTGTATATTGTTAGGTAGGTATTAAATTCTATGATTTTAATAATTAATAGAAAATAGATGCGAAGGATTTCAAAATATGATTTAAGTTTTGTACATATCTATAAATATTATTACATAGCTGGAATAATTATTAATATTTATAATTTGTAACTAATATGAATAAAACTGCTGAACGTTTAAGTATACTTTTGTGAGTGACATAAAAAGAGTATTGAATTAAAAGGTATCCTTGTTCAGCAAATGAGTTGATAATAAAAGGATAATAAACAAGCGCCTTTGTAACAAACTATAACAGATCGGTAATTGCTTCCACGATGCCTTCTCGCGTTATTACGCCTTTTACGACGCCGTATGGGGTGAATAAAACATTTTTACGAGCGGCCATGGCTGTTATAATACGATACCTATGTACTATCCAGGTAATAAAGAATAAAACAGTTTTCATTATATACATCCTTACATAAAGTTAATACCATGTCACCAATTTGCCTATTTCGAATTTATGTAAATAGTAACAACTGCTATCACTTACTAAGTATTAGTACTTACTAGTTTCAAATAACAAATATAAATGTATATGTAAATAGGTCATTATTTGTATGAACTAATAAAGCTAATTTTTATTATAAATTTAACCATATCAAAAACATTTTAGCTTAGAAACATTATCAAAGCAAATTATGTTAGATAAATAAAAACAACATTGATGTTTAATTTATATAACAGCTGGTCACCATAATGTTAGAATATATTGGACTTGTCCCTTCAAAGTTTCCTTATGAGAGGTCGATAATTCAATATAGATCAGAAGTCGGAAGCAGTAGATATATGTCCCTCGACGATCGCAGGCGCGAGGCGGACACATGGCTCCGGTCACTCAAATAGATTGCGTCATAGCGTAATTCCATCCCAGAGTACAATTTAACAATTATAGCGACCAGTTCATAAAGTTCTATATATCTCTAGTTGTAGTATGCCCTGTTTGATTAGACGTTGCTGTTTCTTTGTCATTCATACGCATTACAACGCCGAAGCTAGATACAATACGAATACTTATTTTTTATTTTTTACTCTGGGGACACTTTTTCGACCCTCGTCCGAGCGGCCTCTTTGAAAAGTGGACATCGGAACGCGAGGGAAGGAGCCCCCGAGGACACCGGACAGAAAATGCGTTGTAAACATTGCGACTACATTCAATTTCCCGTCATTTTTCAAACTGATAAATAATTCTGTCATCGAACGCTCGGACAGGGGTCGCTATGAAGTGATTGTCGACGGACGGCGGCCGTAAAAAATAGCGGACTATGAGCCTCGGCGTCTACTCCTCACTTGTATGTGTGCGATAAATTTCTTTTTTATTATCAGATATCGAGGGACTACGGAATCAAATAAAGCGCTCATATTTAATTCATAAGATACCGGCCATATAGTACTTACGCTACACTATTTTATTTAAGACGCAGAAGATTACGAACGTTACGATGTTATATCGTATTTGTAGGAACCCATATCTACTGGATAATGTATAGATTTTTAAAATGTAGTCGCTCTATTATTATACATGCTAAAGTTTGTTTGTGAATGTGTGTGTATGTTTGTTACTTTTTTACGTTAATGACTGAGCAAATTTGGATGAAATCTGTGTACAAAATATAGATATACTATGGAGTAACACATAGATTACTGTTAGGGACGCACCCGAGCGAAACAAGGGTAAGTTACTAGTAGAAATTTGTTATAAAATCACTTTTGACTATTATATTCAACATTTTATTTGTTTTGTTTATTCTATAGTGATGGTCCTATTTATTTTAATTTACAATTTATCGAGAATGATAATTCGAATGTCCGGCAGATGTTTTCAATACATGTGATAGACCAGGCTGGGTCACTCTGAGTATTAAATAACTCTTCGACAGCTAAATGAGTAGGGGACGCTGGCAACGTGGCTTTTCTAAATTATATTATACGATAGTAGTTTAAGCCTAGAATCCAAATAATGTACCGGAAAATTGCTAGCTACGTATGTACGAGTATATATATATTTTTAAAATTTACTTTGCCATTTGCTAAGTTTACACAGAATTTATGACTATCATTACTTATTATTTTAACTTAAAATGGCTTCGTTGTACCCTTTTTAGGGTTCCGTACCCAAATGGTGCCAACGGAACGATATTACTACACCTCCGCTGTCTGTCCGTCTGTCAGAGAGCTAGCTGTATCTCGAGAACTGTAATAGGTAGACAGTGGAAATTTTCACAGTGTATGTATTTCTATTGCTGTTATAACAACATATAATAAAAAAATACAACAAACACTTTTTTAATGTTCGTAATCGATCATCGTAGCTAATTTGCTACATACATAGAGTAAAAGTATTATTAATAAAAAGTACATGTATGATGTACCATCATTCGGACATCTTTCGTGTACAAATTCGACTCGCTCTTGACCGATTTTTTATTTTAAGTAACAAGCCTTCAAATAATTTCTTAAGTAGTTACTGTTAGCAATATAAATAAATTTTGACCTGCGTTATATTAATGGTTCCACATTTCTAGAGTGAGTGAGATCCATTATCCATATATATAGTAACTAATATGAAAAATTGTAGAAAATCATTCCAAGGTTTTTAGAAAAGCTTAACTAGGTATATGGAAATGATCTCTGTACTGTGATTTATAGGTATGAGATTTCTTTGAATACAACGTTCTTGTACAGTCTAGTTTTTCTTTAATCTCGTTGAAAACTAAATTACGTTACCGCATATATAAAAAAAATACTTGTGAAGACTTTTGGACTGAAATAAAATTTATATCAATGAAACATTGCACAAGTTGTACAATTGTTCAGTAAAAAAGTTAAACTTCCGTTTCCGTACCTATTTCTATTATTTCTTTACTGTTTACTATATATGTATATTATTTATATTAAAAAAGGAAATGAAATGCAGTGACGGTATTAATTCGTTTCCTGCGTTGTTACTTGTTCACGTTCTTTACTCTTTAGACTAGTCTCGTTTGCAAATGGTTCTGGTAGTTGACGCTAGGTGGCAGGTAACGTCAGTTGCAATCGGGCTTTAATAATTACAAAAATTAAACTACCATATTTAACGTTTTTTATTTAACCTAAAATTCAAATTATTATTTAATTGCAAAAATTATATAGTAAAAATTTAAATTTTGAAGAATTTTAAACGTATCAAAACTGAATTTTATAAGTGTACGATGATAGCTGGTGCCGTACATGTATGTATGTATCGAACAAAGCGTTCTTTTAAAAAAGTTTGTAAATTAATCGAATAAGTATTAAAATGTAGTCTAATAGATATTCAAATTATAGGCCTATAGACGTACGCTATGAGATTCCTATTATTATGATTAATCCTTATTTTTACAGATAATACGTTTGGTACGTATTATCTGTAAAAACATTGTTTTGGTGATATATTACGACCGTATTATAAACTAAACCGTTACACGTAAAATTGTTCGACGAACCCTTGGGACGTATGAAAAAGTATTATACAATTTAATCCTTACAGGTTCATAAGGGGCTTCAAGTATAAAAATAACCTTAAAAAACGTCACCAAAGGTGAAAAATAATGTTAGTATTACAAAAAAGTGTATAAGTTATTACGATATAAATAGTGCAAATCAAAATTTACGATAAATTATTTATGACAACTAATTTGCTGTGATAATATTAATGGGAAACATTACATTACACGTAAGCTCGAAATAACAAGAGATACCTTCTAAATCCACGCGGCGATTGCACAGAACAAGCCTGATAGGAACTCAGTTTATATTTTATTCATACATTGTATTGTTGGAATATCAATTGCCTCGCCCGGCGGTAGGTAAAGGGTACGTTTCCAATCCGCACGGGATTCACTTAGATTTGAAGGAAAATAGATTTCGATTTCGAAAGCTGCGACAAAGCAATCCGATATATTTTTCAGACAGATATTGCTAGCGATTTCTTTTAAGCTTTGAAATATAAGGGAGAAAATTCATGGAAATACGTTTATATTCTTTATATCATCTATTCTTCGATATTGGTTATATTGGTATGGTATTTGGAATGTAGGATCTTATAAAAAATCTGCCATAGCTTATTTTAAAAGAATAATAAATCATAATTTAATCTTTTTATTACTGGTACAATTGAATTAAAACATATAAATTTTTTTTATAATATGTTTATATATTAATGTATTTATTGTTTGGAAAATGTATATGATATACAATGGACGACGTAAATAGCGTTAAGAATTGTTTCCGTCTGTCGGACAAACGATTTTTATGAAATATTGAATCGATTGAATCAAAATGCATAGTTAAGTTATATTTTAATCGAAGGAGTAAATCTAATACTCTAAAGTACGAGTACGTATACCTTTCTACTTCTATGTGCTCCCATACAAAGTCATACTTAGTGATTGTGGGCTAAATAAAAAACAAACTTGTGTGTGAAGACAGTAGCATTAACTAGTAAAATAAAAAAGATAATCGTTTAATTTGGAATGTACTTGTTTATGTAATTCCAATCTTATAACATCGAGTTTATATTTTCTATTTCAGCTTACCATTAAAGTGAATAAGTTCGCGGGAGGTCAATGTCATTTAAAGCCGGAGACGGGTTATTTCCTCTGTTTTTAATTTTGCCGGCAGACAATGCATTAAAGGAAAACGTAAAGGAAAACATAAAAGGGGAAACCGACCCCTTTAAGAGTGATTAATTTATTATGTTCTTTGTTTCTATTTTGATTTGGCTTCATGGAAGTTATAGTATATATTT